ATGTGCGCTTGTACATGCATATGTAGTGTGACTTAAGTGTAAGTAGAAATAGCAAGACATACCTGAAATCTTTAATGTTTATGAGACAGAAAAGACACCAGCAATCTTACCATGTAAAACAATTACAGGCTTCTGTTTTAAACTCACTTGGTAGGACAGTAGTACCTCCCTGGGTGGTTGCTGTCTACCAACTTACTACCAAAGTGTAAGTATATACTGTACATTATCGTTTATTTATATATGTACATAATATCTTCTTCTTTCAATGCACTGGCCGTATCCCACTGAAGTGGGGTGGCCAAAAGGAAAAACGAAAGTTTCTCCTTTTAAATTTAGTAATATATACAGGAGAAGGGGTTACTAGCCCCTTGTTCCCAGCATTTTAGCTGCCTCATATGACACGCATGGCTTATGGAGGAAGAATTCTGTTCCACTTCCCCATGGAGATAAGAGGAAACAAACCAGAGCAGAAACTAGTAAGAAAATAGAAGAAAACAGAGGAGTGTGTGTATATATACATGTATATATATGCTTGTACATGCAAGTGTAGTGTGACCTAAGTGAAAGTAGAAGTAGCGAAACATACCTGAAATCTTGCATGTTTATAAGACAGAAAAAAGACACTGGCAATCCTACCATCATGTAAAACAATTACAGGCTTCTGTTTTACACTCGCTTGGTAGGACAGTAGTACGTACCTCCCTGGGCAGTTGCTGTCTACCAACCTACTACCTAGGTGTAAGTATATACTACTTTTCTTTCAAAGCACCAGCCATATCCCACTGAGACAGGGTGGCCCAAAAAAACAAAATGAAAGTTTCTCTTATTAACTTTAGTAATGTTTACAGGAGAAGGGGTTACTAGCCCCTTGCTCCCAGTATTTTAGTCGCCTCTTATGACACGCATGGCTTACGGAGGAAGAATTCTGTTCCATTTCCACATTACAGTATCATTTATTTATACACATAATATATCCAGAAGTAACACTGATAACTCTGCACAGAGCAAGATGTTGACAACATTGTTATTAGATGATGAGAGGTGCAATGTTGTTCACCCAAGATAAGGGAAAACAAATTTTATCATTGAATTTTTGTACATATTCATTTTATGCAGGTGTAGGGGGTTAATATTTTTATGCTTCAAATGGGTCAAAAATTTTATTTTTTTATTTTACAAGATACATTTTCTTTTTATTAAATGCATTGATTTTTTGCATGTTTGTTTCATACATATGATAATGGAACAGGTTTTAGGAATTGGATGATCACATTTTTTATGGTCCCTTTTCATTGTACACTCTTTTAAGCATTATTTGTTCAGATGCCAGATTGAACAAGGCCTTTGAATAATGTTGGATGCCAAATAATTGACTGCAGGATAATCAATGATGTATATGTTCATTTTGGGTATATATCATTGGGTCATGTATCTTTGGTAGAAATTTGTCAGTTTTTTGCTTTTTGTGTGTGTGTGTGAGAGAGCATATCGAACTTCATAATTTTTTTATGAAAGGCATTAATTACATTAAAATATTCAGAAATACTGTACATGGTCTAGTGATGCTGTCAGTAAACCCAGACTTCTCTTAACAAAACCAGTCTACAGTTTCAGTACTGTAAATGCATGGAATTTCTGTTATCTGCCTACCAGCTTTAGGTTAATTAAGGGGGTATTCATTGAATCATACATGTAGGTTGATGAATTAGACTAAATATAAGAGCAGAAGCAGTGATGAGGTAGACACAGCAACATCATATATAATATGCATGGATCTGATGTACTGATTTGTTTAACCCTTAAACGGTCCAAACATATATATATATATATTCACCTGCGCAGCGCCCCGAATATTTTGAGAAAAAAAAAAATTATAGGAAAAAAAGAGCATGTGGTACCCAGGTGTCCCCAATTTTTTTCATATGGCACACACTGAGTGCGCACACGCATTCTCTTATGTCTAGGGGACTCAGGCCTATCGTGCTGATGCTGAATAAATGACAAATGAAACGTATATAAATAACAAAAAAAGGCACAACACCGTGACTGGAACGATACACAAATAACCCGCACATCGAAGAGAGGAGCTTACGACAATGTTTCGGTCCGACTTGGACCATTTACAAAGTCCTGCTCCACTTCTGGTTAGTGTGACTTTGTAAATGGTCCAAGTCGGACCGAAGCGTCGTCGTAAGCTCCTCTCTTCTATGTGCAGGTTATTTGTGAAACGTATATATACGTTTGGGGTACTACGCGAGAGAACGTATATACATATACGTTTGGACCATTTAAGGGTTAAACATCTTTTATATTACTTTTCAATGTCACTAATGGTTTTAGACATAGCAGTATACATGTATAGTATACTGTGTTCATACTGTAGTTTATGGGCTGTCATTCATAGAATTATAGATGGCATTTTTTTTCTTTTTCTTTACTCAAATAGGTAGACTGATATTTCACCTGATCAACATTTAAAAAATTTGCTTATTTATTTTGAGTCTCTTGTGTTTTTTTTTAGTTTGGCAGATCTTTAGTATTCTCCTTCTTTCAACAGACCAACTGTATCCCACTGAGGCAGTGTGCCCCCACCCCCCCCCCCCCCCAAAAAAAAAAAAAAAAAATCTTTTAAATTCAGTAATATATACATAAGAGGGGAGGTTACTAGCCCCTTGCTCCCAGCATTTTAGTCACCTCTTACAACATGCAGTCTTTAGTATTAATTAGGTTTATTTGTAATTTTAAATAGTCACACATATTAGTTATTGATAATGCTTTAATTTTTTTCAGAGCTGGAGTTGCCATCATCCCTCACGTCAGAAGAGAGGAAATACATCCATTTTTTGTCACAGCAAATGGGATTCAAGAGCAAGAGTCGGGGGTAAGAAACAATGGATTTATGGTGATATGTCTTGTGTTGATGGGATATTTTCCTTGCGCTATTTTAGAATGGGTCACAAACACCCTCTGTAGTAAAAACAGTCTCCTTTACATTTAATTTTGTCTTGCATTGAAACTGTTTACATATACACCACCAATGAACTGGCTGTATCCCACAAAGGCTGGGTGGCCTAAAAAGAAAAACTAAAGTTTTTCTTTTTAAATTTAGTAATTTATACAGGAGAAGGGGTTACTAGCCACTTGCTCCCGGCATTTTAGTCGCCTCTTACAACACATAGGTTATGGAGGAAGAATTCTTTTCCACTTCCCCATGGGGAACCTTTATAAGTTATCTATTAAAAATTAAGCTTTGTAACCTCTTTTAGAAGGGTTTTTAAATGAAGTCCTTTTTTTTTTTCATTATTGGAAGTATTACATTGTTTTTTATCAGCAGCAAGCTTAAAATCTTGTTTTATTTCAGGAAAGGCTCATCTCGTTACCTTACAGTGTACAAAAAGGAAGGGTCAACAATTATGAGCAGTGAAGCAGTTGTTAGTCTAGCTGATCCTACTCGAGCTACCATCTTAGGACTGCTTCAACGCTGCCCAGTCACTAACAAGGAACGGCAAGACCTTTTACCAGCTACAGAAAGAGACAGACTGATGAATCCTGAGTGTGAGTTATAGTATTACAGTGTTAAAGGTAGAACTGTGTGTCATCAGTGATTATCTTTAATGGCATATGGCAATGGAGAAAACATCTTTATAAATATAAAATTAAGTAGAAGCTATGATAGGTCTCTTCATAGAAACTAAGGTAGTAGGTTGGTAGACAGCAACCACCCAGGGAGGTACTACCGTCCTGCCAAGTGAGTGTAAAACGAAGCCTGTGATTGTTTTACATGATGGTAGGATTGCTGATGTCTTTTGTCTGTCTCATAAATATGCAAGATTACAGGCATGTCTTGCTACTTCTGCTTACACTTAGGTCACACTACACATACATGTACACATTTATTTATACACACTCATCTGAGTTTTCTTTGATTTTATCTTAATAGTTCTTGGTCTTATTAATTTTCCTTTTATATCCATGGGGAAGTGGAATAAGAATCTTTCCTCCGTAAGCCATGCGTGTTGTAAAAGTCAACTAAAATGCCGGGAACAATGGGGTAGTAACCCCTTTTCCTGTAAAGATTACTAAAAAGAATAAGAAGAAGAAAATTGTCAAAGTGGGAAGTCTGAATGTGCGTGGATGTTGTGCAGATGATAAGAAAGAGATGATTGTGGATGTTATGAATGAGAAGAAGCTGGATGTCCTGGCTTTAAGTGAAACAAAGCTGAAGGGGGGTGGAGAGTTTCAGTGGAGTAGGAATAATGGGATTAGGTCAGGGTTTCAAATAGAGTTAGAGCTAAAGAAGGAGTAGCAATAATGTTGAAGGATAAGCTATGGCAGGAAAAGAGGGACTATAAATGTATTAATTCAAGGATTATGTGGAGTAAAATAAAGATTGGATGTGAAAAGTGGGTTATAATAAGCGTGTATGCACCTGGAGAAGAGAGAAGTGTAGAGGAGAGAGGAGATTTTGGGAAATGTTGAGTGAATGCGTGGGGAGTTTGAATCAAGTGTGAGAGTAATGGTGGTTGGGGATTTCAATGCTAAAGTGGGTAAAAATGTTATGGAAGGAGTAGTAGGTAAATTGGGGTGCCAGGGTAAATGGGGAGCCATTTAATTGAGCTATGTGTAGAAAGAAATTTGGTAATAAGTAATACATATTTTATGAAAAAGAGATAAATAAATATACAAGGTATGATGTAGCACGTATGAAAGTAGTTTATTAGATTATGTATTGGTGGATAAAAGGTTGATGGGTAGGCTCCAGGATGTACATGTTTATAGAGGGGCAACTGATATATCGGATCATTATTTAGTTGTAGCTACAGTTAGAGTAAGAGGTAGATGGGAAAAGAGGAAGGTGGCAACAACAAGTAAGAGGGAGGTGAAAGTGTATAAACTAAGGGAGGAGGAAGTTCGGGTGAGATATAAGCGACTATTGGCAGAAAGGTGGGCTAGTGCAAAGATGAGTAGTGGGGGGGTTGAAGAGGGTTGGAATAGTTTTTAAAAAATGCAGTATTAGAATGTGGGCAGAAGTTTGTGGTTATAGGGGGTGGGGGCAGGAGGAAAGAGGAGTGATTGGTGGAATGATGAAGTAAAGGGTGTGATAAAGAGAAAAAGGTAGCTTATGAGAGGTTTTTACAAAGCAGAAGTGTTATAAGAAGAGCAGAGTATATGGAGAGTAAAAGAAAGGTAAAGAGAGTGGTGAGAGAGTGCAAAAGGAGAGCAGATGATAGAGTGGGAGAGGCACTGTCAAGAAATTTTAATGAAAATAGAAAAAAATTTTGGAGTGAGTTAAACAAGTTAAGAAAGCCTAGGGAAAATATGGATTTGTCAGTTAAAAACAGAGTAGGGAGTTAGTAGATGGGGAGATGGAGGTATTGGGTAGATGGCGAGAATATTTTGAGGAACTTTTAAATGTTAAGGAAGAAACAGAGGCAGTAATTTCATGCACTGGTCAGGGAGATATACCATCTTTTAGGGGTGGGCGAAGAGCAGAATGTAAGTGTGGGGGAGGTACTGAGGCATTACGTAAAATGAAAGGGGGTAAAGCAGCTGGAACTGATGGGGTCATGACAGAAATGTTAAAAGCAGGGGGGGTATAGTGTTGGAGTGGTTGGTACTTTTGTTTAATAAATGTAAAGAAAGAGGGGAAGGTACCTAGGGGTTGGCAGAGAGCATGTATAGTCCCTTTATATAAAAGGGAAAGGGACAAAAGAGACTAAAAATTATAGAGGAATAAGCTTACTGAGTAACCAGGAAAAGTGTACGGTAGGGTTTTTAATTGAAAGAATTAGAGGTAAGACAGAATGTAAAGGGTTGCGGATGAGCAAGGAGGTTTTTTGAGTGGGTAGGGGATGTGTAGATCAGGTGTTTTTCTTTGAAGCATATATGTGAACAGTATTTAGATAAAGATAGGGAAGTTTTTATTGCATTTATGGATTTAGAAAAGGCATATGATAGAGTGGATAGAGGAGCAATGTGGCAGATGTTGCAAGTATATGGAATAGGTGGTAGTTATTAAATGCTGTAAAGAGTTTTTATGAGGATAGTGAGGCTCAGGTTAGGGTGTGTAGAAGAAGGGAGACTAACTCTTCCCGGTAAAAGTAGGTCTTAGAACAGGGATGTTAATGTCACCATGGTTGTTTAATATATTTATAGATGGGGTTGTAAGGAAGTAAATGCTAGGGTGTTTGGGAGAGGGGGGGGAAATTAAATTAGGGGGAATCAAATTCAAAATGGAATTGACACAGTTATTTTTTGCTGATGATACTGTGCTTAGGGGAGATTCTAAAAAAAAAATTGCAAAGTTAGTGGATGAGTTTGGGAATGTGTGTAAAGGTAGAAAGTTGAAAGTAAAACATAGAAAAGAGTAAGGTGATGAGGGTGTCCAAATGATTTGGATAAAGAAAAATTGGATATCAAATTTTGGGGAGGAGGAGTATGGAAGAAGTGAATGTTTTCAGATACTTGGGATTTTGACGTGTCGGCAGATGGATTTATAAAAGGATGAGGTTAATCATAGAATTAATGAGGGAAAAAAGGTGAGGGGGTGCGTTGAGGATATGTGGAGTCAAAAACGTTATCTATGGAGGCAAAGAAGGTATGTATGAAAAATATTTGTAGTACCAACACTCTTATATGGGTGTGAAAGCTTGGGTGGTAAAAGCAGCACGAGGGGACGGTTGGAGGCAGTGGAGATGTCCTGTTTTTTAAAGGGGAATGTGTGGTGTAAATATTATGCAGAAATTCGGAGTGTGGAGAAATTAGGAGAAGGTGTGGAAGTTAATAAAAGCATTTTGTCAGAGGGCAGAAGAGGGGTTGTTGAGGGTTTGGTCATTTAGAGAGAATGGATCAAAATAGAATGACATGGAAAGCATATAAATCTGTAGGGGGAAAGGGAAAGAGGGGTAGGGTCATCCTCGAAAGGGTTGGAGAGAGGGGGTAAAGGAGGTTTGGGGTAAGGGGCTTGGACTTCCAGCAAGCGTGCGTGAGCGTGTTAGATAGGAGTGAATGGAGACGAATGGGGACTTGGGACCTGACGATCTGTTGGAGAGTGAGCAGGGTAATATTTAGTGAAGGGATTCAGGGAAACCGGTTATTTTCATATAGTCGGACTTTAGTCCTGGAAATGGGAAGTACAATGCCTGCACTTTAAAGGAGGGGTTTGGGAAAATTTGGGAGTTTGGAGGGATATGTTTGTGTATCTTTATATGTGTATGCTCTTAGACTGTTGTATTCTGAGCACCTCTGCAAAACACTGATAATGTGCGAGTGTGGTGAAAGTGTTGAATGATGATGAAAGTATTTTCTTTTTGGGATTTTCTTTCTTTTTTGGGTCACCCTGCCTCGGTGGGAGACGGCCGACTTGTTGAAAAATATATATATATATATATAATATATATATATATATATATATATATATATATATATATATATATATATATATATATATATAATATATATATATATATTACAATATACATATATATACATATATACATATATATACATATATATACATATATATAATATATATATATATATATATATATATATATATAATATAATATATATATATATATATATAATATATATATTATATATATATATATATTATATATATATTATATATTATATATATTATATATTATATATATATTATATATTATATATATATATATATATATATATATATATATATATATATATATATATATATATATATATATATATATATATATATATATATATATATGTGTGTGTGTGTTGTGTGCAGCAGCGAGGAGACGGTTGGAGGCAGTGGAGATGTCCTGTCTAAGGGCAATGTGTGGTGTAAATATTATGCAGAAAATTCGGAGTGTGGAAATTAGGAGAAGGTGTGGAGTTAATAAAAGCATTAGTCAGAGGGCAGAAGAGGGGTTGTTGAGGTGGTTTGGTCATTTAGAGAGAATGGATCAAAGTAGAATGACATGGAAAGCATATAAATCTGTAGGGGAAGGAAAGAGGGGTAGGGGTCGTCCTCGAAAGGGTTGGAAAGAGGGGGTAAAGGAGGTTTTGTGGGTGAGGGGCTTGGACTTCCAGCAAGCGTGCATGAGCGTGTTAGATAGGAGTGAATGGAGACGAAATGATACTTGGGACCTGACGATCTGTTGGAGTGTGAGCAGGGTAATATTTAGTGAAGGGATTCAGGAAACCGGTTATTTTCATATAGTCGGACTTGAGTCCTGGAAATGGGAAGTACAATGCCTGCACTTTAAAGGAGGGGTTTGGGATATTGGCAGTTTGGAGGGATATGTTGTGTATCTCTATACGTATATGCTTCTAAACTGTTATATTCTGAGCACCTCTGCAAAAGCAGTGATAATGTGTGAGTGTGGTGAAAGTGTTGAATGATGATGAAAGTATTTTCTTTTTGGGGATTTTCTTTCTTTTTTTTTTTGGGTCACCCTGCCTCGGTGGGAGACGACCGACTTGTTGAAAAAAAAAAAAAAAAAAAAAAATATATATATATATATGATCTGATTGATCTCTGTTTTGTTTTAATAAAGCAGGTGGACAACAAGGCAGATATTTCTGTCACAAATATTATTAAGTTAAAGCAAATAGAATAAAATAGAAGCTATTTTTTTTATAAAGTATTTCTTTGCCTAATTTTATATAATGTTTCAGTGAGAGACCTAAGTGTCCTACGTTCCCTAGGACGTTTGACTCCTGGGCCCCCACAGATTCCTCCACCACCAAGTCTTAGTGACCTGACTGCAGAAGCAAGAAAGTTACCTATTTGGAACATGAGAGACCAGCTTCTTGCTGCTGTCCACCACAACCAGGTCATCCTGGTCTGTGGTGAGACAGGTTCAGGGAAAACAACTCAGGTATACTTCCCCACCTTAGTAATACAGTTGAAAAGATCTAAGCCTTCAGAATTGACTTGACTGACACAGTTCATCATCTCTATAAATGTAGATGGTGTAACTGGTATTGGTAAAAAATGTCACCAAATGTAATTAGAAACTTCACTAAACTTATTTTGTACACTATATGAATCCATTAAATTGCATACAATTATTACCTTGAGCTTTATTAAATGCAGTACCTAAGAATAAAAAAATACACTGCTAGGAATTTTGTAGACACCAGTTTCTTCATCTATGTTATGGTGATTATTTTTCTACCTAGTAAAGTCACAACTAGTAGAAGAGATGACAATGGACTTGTCAGCAGATGGGTCTTGGTATCACAATACATGATTTTTTTTTTTTTTTGTACATTCATGGACAAAGTTCTTTGTCTCTGGATACCTCAGTGCACCAGCCATCTTTTTCCTAACTTCCCTTCTGAGAAGACCTTTCTAAATAATTTCTTCAGCATTTCATAGACTTCCTTCTTCAGTCAGATTCCCTGGTCTTTTACTGTCATCTCTCTCCTGATGTTGCTGTGAAACTGTTTTGGCTCTGTCTTGGCCTTAGTTGTTATGTCACTCTCAAATTGTCACATATCTTCTCTCTCCTCACATTTGCATATTCATTTCTGGCTAATCTGGTAACTTCTCTGTTTTCATCTATCCTTTGTTTCTGTAGTGATGGTGGTTGTGTGTGTGGTAGCCTGGTCTATGGCCGGCCTCCAAGAGTAGAAAAACTTTCAGAACTCATCAGAGGTGAAGGTAAGGTATGCAGCTACTAGTAAGCATTGACCTGCCTCTCACCTTACCACATGTTCTTGTCTAGATAGGCAACCCTGTTCATAATAACAAGGCATTCAACCCCCTTAAAATAAAAAGGTCAAGCAAATACATGCACAGTTATCACCCAGAGTTTTATATTAATTTTTTCAACACACTGGCCTTCTCCCAGCAAGGTTAAATGTGGTTTTAAAATTCAGTGGAATTTCTTCACATCACTGCATCATTTTCGTGTGTATCCGAGTTTTTTTTTTTTTTTCATTGGAAATCCATTTACCAGAATTTAGCCAAAATTGCTCAGAATTTGGACAGTGAATAACAGGGATAAAAAAAAACGTGTTTCTCTCAACATACCGGCCATATCCCAACGAGGCAAGGTGGCCCAAAAAGAAAAACACAAGTTTCTCTTTTTAAATTTAGTTATATATACAGGAAAAGGGGTTACTAACCACTTGCTCCCATATAAAAAATATCTGGCAAAATATTAAACCCTGATAAATATACCGTATAATAGTTGAACAGTTAGAAAAATACTTGAACATAATAAATTAGTATGTACTAATGAAGAAATTATTATAAGTAAGATACCAGTTGATCACTAATGGAGCATGAATTGTAATAAATTTGAAAAATGAGTTTAGTTACTGTGTTGTATTTTGCAGGTACCACAAATGTTGCTTCAAGAAGCATCATCCCTGGGGAAGCCATGTCGTATTTTTTGTACACAACCACGAAGGATCTCTGCACTGACCATCGCAGAAAGAGTGGCAGCAGAAAGAGGCGAGAAAGTTGGGTATACTGTTGGCTACCAGATTAGATTGGAAAGCAAGTAAGTAATTGTTGTAGTAGCTTATTGTTTTTTACATTTTATGTACAAAAATTTTAATGCCAGCCTGGCAGCATGTAGCGGGACATCACAAATTTCCTTAAGCTTCTAGTTGTGTGGTGGACAGACATGCATCTGTGGTCTCCTTGTGCCATGTGGTTTTGAGTGAGTTTATTAGACATTTTTAGCTATGGACAAATAAAGATGGACAGTTGCACAGGTTGTTGGATTATATAAGGCAGGTCATCAAATGATGGAAATACAAAGTAGAAGTCATTAGCATGTGTGAGTGCTTAGGGAGGAACTGGTTGCCAGGTCCATGACAACAGTGTTGATAACCTGCTTACACCACAGGCATGTCAAAGGAAGCCTAGACAAATATTTCCATGTACATTAACCCTTTGACTGTTTTCGACGTAGAAATACGTCTTACGAGCCAATGTTTCTGACGTATATATACTCAATAATTCTAGCGGCTTCAAATCAAGCGGGAGAAAGCTGGTAGGCCCACATGTGAGAGAATGGGTCTGTGTGGTCAGTGTGCACCACATAAAAAAAATCCTGCAGCACACATTGCGTAATGAGAAAAAAAAAAACGATCGTTTTTTTTGGAATAAAACGCCGACTTTGAGGTTTATTTTCGTATAGTATTTATCGTTGTATTCGCGTTTTCATGGTCTTAGGTGATAAAATGGAAAACATATTACAGAAATAGAGATGATTTTCATTACTTTGACGATGAAAACGACCTTGAAACTGATCTCAAAGTAGCGGAAATGTTCGATTTTTACCAATGTTCAGGAGTAAATAAATCACACCACACGTCCAATACACGTCAACTGGGGAGTCTAATATTCTTTCACTAGTGCACTGATATTATTTATACCATTTTTACAATAATGCAGTAGTCTGCATAACAGTAAATTTTGTATTTTTTGTATGAATAAAAAATCAAAATAGAAAGCAATAATAATATAAGAGGGGCCTAGAGATATGACTAATGAACAGAGCATATGTTATTTTAGTGCCACGAATGTCTACCTTGTTTATTCTGGACCCTATTTTGAAATTGGCATCTTTTTTAGTTTGTGTGAAATTGGCCAAATTGCCAATTTCTGACCACCATATTGGGTAGTCCAAATTAGTAAATGGGAGGTTTCTTGTACTGAGCTGATAGATAAAATGGAGTTCTAAAGAAATAGCTATGAGTTTGGTCAACTGGAGCAATGGAATTGGCTGAAAATAGGGCTCAAAGTCGGCGAAATCGCCGATACGCATATGTCGCCGAGACCACTAACTTTGCGGGAGCATAATTCCATGAGTTTTCGACCAAATTTCGAACTTTTGGTGTCATTACCATCGGGAAAAGATTCTCTATCATTTCATAAGAAAAAATAATTTTTTTTTTTTTTTTCAAAAATTGAGCGACATAGAATGACAGTTTCAGAAAGGGGCCTGAAACAGTCAAAGGGTTAATACTCTGTTACAGTTAATATATGCGAGGACATTTGTCTAGGCTTCCCTAGACATGCAACCAGTTCCTCACTGAATGCTTACACATACCAGTTGTGCCACTGTTTCCTTCATTTGATGGCCTATCTTATGTAATCCCGTGATCTGTGCAATTGTCTCCTGTGTCTGCAACTCATTCTTGCCCATTCATCTATAGCCAAACTCAGCACTCCAGACCACAAATTACAAGGAGACCACAGACACATATCCATCGACCACACAGGCTTAGAAGGCTGTCAACATTAGCCTTAGGGAATCCCTCGATGTCCCACTTCAAGTTGCCAGGTGAGCATTAAATTTTGTTGCACCAAAATATTTAATAGGGTCAAGTGTTATTTCAACATTACCAGATACCTCCACCCAGCATACTTTAGTGGTGAGCACTGCACTTGTACTCTTGGGAAATAGTTCTGAGGTATAAACACTGGTTGGTAATTATGAGGCTTTCATCCTGTCAGTGTTGAAAATAGGTTAAATGTTAAATCAGTACTGTATAGTACTGCGTGACTAGTTAATGGTCCAAGTCAGGCCGAAACATCATAAGTTTCATTTTCCTGTGTAATGGTTATTTGTGTATTGTTCCAGTCATGATATTGTGCCTTTTTATTCAGTACTGTGACAGCTTTATGTAGGATTGCTGCAGTACAGTATTTAAATGTGTGGGGAACCTCACCACTTCCTCTATGTTCATATTTTTTTCTGTGATAGAGCATCTCAGCTGGTATAAAAAATGAAATGTAAAATAATTAAACTTGTATGGAGTTTGGATCATGCTTTCCTTGAACAGTAGTCATGCAGACAAATGAAATCATGTAATACATCGCAGTGTGTATAATTTGTAAAAAGTCTGGGCTGAATGGTACTGCCCTTGATACTGGCCATGTAGTCAGAAACTGTAAGGCTGGAGGTGATGCCCTGGTAGTCAGTAAATGTGGGGCTGATAGTGCTGTCCTGGGAGACAGTAATGGTGAAGCTGGAGGTGCTGTCCTGGGAGACAGTAATGGTGAAGCTGGAGGTGCTGTCCTGGGAGACAGTAATGGTGAAGCTGGAGGTGCTGTCCTGGGAGACAGTAATGATGAAGCTGGAGATTTTGTCCACGTAGTTGGGAATTTTACGCAGGAAGGAATACATATAAATGACCTCATAGGGGACAGGAGCCGTAGTGGGGAAACAAGTGTAGTCAAAGATAAGATAAAACCAATATTGCAAACTAGAAATACCACAGGAAATAGCAAACAAGAGGACTCCACTAGCAATAGTGAGGATATATTACCAAAAACAACTGGTGGGAGCTCCATTGTTGGTGCTAGGGAGGATAGGAATAAGACAGGTAAACATGCACCAACAGGGAATACAGTCACAGAAACCCAAGGCAAACGGAAACCATGCCTGTGCACATACTATGTACTTGGTATCTGCAGGCATGGGAAATCTGGAAAAACAGACGGGACGTGCAACTATGACCACCCTAGAAAATGCTGTGCCCATATGACAACAGGAAAATGCAAACTCCCTTCCTGTAAGCTTTTTCACCCTGAAATGTGTAACTCTTCAGTACAGGAAAGACTATGCTATAACTTAAATTGCCAGGCACACCATCTAAAGGGGACAAAAAGATACAAAACATCCAGGCCATGGGAAAACCTGGGTAGCCGCAGCCACTCAAGAGGGAGAGGTTTTTTAGTGCCAGGAAGGAAAAAAACTGGCAGGAAATGGCAGAAATCGTACACCAAATCCAGTCATTCCTGGAGTGGAACCACAGTCGATGGCCTCCACTCCAAACCAACAGATACAGATACTAATGCCGGAAAAAAAATCCCCCCCCCCCCAGTACCAACAATACCACCAGTCCGATGACATTCTTCTTTGCAAATATACAGGGTCTAAAGCCAGCAACAAACAACAAAATACCTTTCATCCGTGGACTGCTTGCAGAGGCAAAGGCAATGTTCGCGGCTTTCACTGAGACCCACATAAAGGATCACTTGGACAACGAAATATGGATCCCAGGTTACAACCTATACAGATGTGACAGAGTGAACAGGCAAAAGGGGGGAGGGGGGGTTGGCCTGTACATTGCAGAGTCACTTGTTTGCACAGAACTGCTTAATGCCTCAAATGATGTAGTGGAAGTTTTAGCAGTAAAGGTCGAGAACCAAAACCTAGTCATTGTGGTAGTCTACAAGCCTCTGGATGCAACATCCCAGCAATTCCAGGAACAGCTGTTAAAAATTGACCACTGTCTGGAAAATCTTCCAGCTCCTGCACCCAACATCTTGCTCCTGGGGGATTTCAACTTAAGGCACTTAAAATGGAGGAATATAGCAAATAATATTGTTGCAGTAATAACACCAGTAGGTAAAATGAAAGGGGGTAAGGCAGCCGGGATTGATGGGATAAAGATAGAAACGTTAAAAGCAGGTGGGGATATAGTTTTGGAGTGGTTGGTGCAATTATTTAATAAATGTATGGAAGAGGGTAAGGTACCTAGGGATTGGCAGAGAGCATGCATAGTTCCTTTGTATAAAGGCAAAGGAGATAAAAGAGAGTGCAAAAATTATAGGGGGATAAGTCTGCTGAGTATACCTGGTAAAGTGTATGGTAGAGTTATTATTGAAAGAATTAAGAGTAAGACGGAGAATAGGATAGCAGATGAACAAGGAGGCTTTAGGAAAGGTAGGGGGTGTGTGGACCAGGTGTTTACAGTGAAACATATAAGTGAACAGTATTTAGATAAGGCTAAAGAGGTCTTCGTGGCATTTATGGATTTGGAAAAGGCGTATGACAGGGTGGATAGGGGGGCAATGTGGCAGATGTTGCAAGTGTATGGTGTAGGAGGTAGGTTACTGAAAGCAGTGAAGAGTTTTTACGAGGATAGTGAGGCTCAAGTTAGAGTATGTAGGAAAGAGGGAAATTATTTCCCAGTAAAAGTAGGCCTTAGACAAGGATGTGTGATGTCACCGTGGTTGTTTAATATATTTATAGATGGGGTTGTAAGAGAAGTAAATGCGAGGGTCTTGACAAGAGGCGTGGAGTTAAAAGATAAAGAATCACACACAAAGTGGGAGTTGTCACAGCTGCTCTTTGCTGATGACACTGTGCTCTTGGGAGATTCTGAAGAGAAGTTGCAGAGATTGGTGGATGAATTTGGTAGGGTGTGCAAAAGAAGAAAATTAAAGGTGAATACAGGAAAGAGTAAGGTTATGAGGATAACAAAAAGATTAGGTGATGAAAGATTGAATATCAGATTGGAGGGAGAGAGTATGGAGGAGGTGAATATATTCAGATATTTGGGAGTGGACATGTCAGCGGATGGGTCTATGAAAGATGAGGTGAATCATAGAATTGATGAGGGAAAAAGAGTGAGTGGTGCACTTAGGAGTCTGTGGAGACAAAGAACTTTGTCCTTGGAGGCAAAGAGGGGAATGTATGAGAGTATAGTTTTACCAATGCTCTTATATGGGTGTGAAGCATGGGTGATGAATGTTGCAGCGAGGAGAAGGCTGGAGGCAGTGGAGATGTCATGTCTGAGGGCAATGTGTGGTGTGAATATAATGCAGAGAATTCGTAGTTTGGAAGTTAGGAGGAGGTGCGGGATTACCAAAACTGTTGTCCAGAGGGCTGAGGAAGGGTTGTTGAGGTGGTTCGGACATGTAGAGAGAATGGAGCGAAACAGAATGACTTCAAGAGTGTATCAGTCTGTAGTGGAAGGAAGGTGGGGTAGGGGTCGTGTGAGCAAAGTAACATTTATGAAGGGGTTCAGGGAAACCGGCAGGCCGGACTTGAGTCCTGGAGATGGGAAGTACAGTGCCTGCACTCTGAAGGAGGGGTGTTAATGTTGCAGTTTAAAAACTGTAGTGTAAAGCACCCTTCTGGCAAGACAGTGATGGAGTGAATGATGGTGAAAGTTTTTCTTTTTCGGGCCACCCTGCCTTGGTGGGAATCGGCCAGTGTGATAATAAAAAAAAATAATAACACCAGGAGGCAGCTCTGATGAAAACTCACACTCACACGAGCTTTTAAATCTCTGCACAAAATTCAATTTAAACCAGCAAATAATAGAGCCTACTAGACTGGAGAATACACTAGACCTCATCTTCACTAACAATGATGATCTGATAAGAAATGTCACCATATCAAAAACAATATACTCAGATCACAACATAATTGAGGTTCAGACATGTATGCGTGGAGCCCCAGACCGACATAATGAGATTAGTCACGAGGGAGCATTCACCAAATTCAACTTCAATAACAGAAACATAAAGTGGGACCAAGTAAACCAAGTCCTAACCGATATAAGCTGGGAAGATATACTAAGCAACACAGACCAAAACTTATGCCTAGAACAGATTAACTTGGTGGCACTCGATGTATGTACAAGGCTTATTCCTCTAAGAAAAAGGAGGAGTAGATGTAAAATAGAAAGAGACAGGCGCTCCCTTTACAGACGATGGAAAAGAATAACAGAGCGGCTAAAAGAGGTAAATATATCTGAAATGCGTAGGGAGACACTGGTCAGAGAAATAGCAAGCATCGAACTTAAGCTAAAGGAATCTTATAGGAGTCAGGAATCACGGGAAGAACTAAAAGCCATAAATGAAATCGAAAGAAACCCAAAGTATTTCTTCTCCTATGCCAAATCAAAGTCGAGAACAACGTCCAGTATTGGGCCCCTACTTAAACAAGATGGGTCCTACACAGACGACAGCAAGGAAATGAGTGAGCTACTCAAGTCCCAATATGACTCAGTTTTTAGCAAGCCGCTAACCAGACTGAGAGTCGAAGATCAAAATGAATTTTTTATGAGAGAGCCACAGAATTTGGTTAACACAAGCCTATCCAATGTTATCCTGACGCCAAATGACTTCGAACAGGCGATAAATGACATGCCCATGCACTCTGCCCCAGGGCCAGACTCATGGAACTCCGTGTTCATCAAGAACTGCAAGAAGCCCCTATCATGAGCCTTTTCCATCCTATGGAGAGGGAGCATTTGGCACGGGGGTCGTCCCACAGTTACTAAAAACAACAGACATAGCCCCACTCCACAAAGGGGGCAGTAAAGCAACAGCAAAGAACTACAGACCGATAGCACTAACATCCCATATCATAAAAATCTTTGAAAGGGTCCTAAGAAGCAAGATCACCACCCATCTAGAAACCCATCAGTTACACAACCCAGGGCAACATGGGTTTAGAACAGGTAGCTCCTTTCTGTCTCAACTATTGGATCACTACGACAAGGGCCTAGATGCACTAGAAGACAAAAAGAATGCAGATGTAATATATACCGACTTTGCAAAAGCCTTCGACAAGTGTGACCATGGCGTAATAGCACACAAAATGCGTGCTAAAGGAATAACAGGAAAAGTCGGTCGATGGATCTATAATTTCCTCACTAACAGAACACAGAGAGTAGTCGTCAACAGAGTAAAGTCCGAGGCAGCTATGGTGAAAAGCTCTGTTCCACAAGGCACAGTACTCGCTCCCATCTTGTTCCTCATCCTCATATCCGACATAGACAAGGATGTCAGCCACAGCACCGTGTCTTCCTTTGCAGATGACACCCAAATCTGCATGACAGTGTCTTCCATTGCAGACACTGCAAGGCTCCAGGCGGACATCAACCAAATCTTTCAGTGGGCTGCAGAAAACAATATGAAGTTCAACGATGAGAAATTCCAATTACTCAGATATGGTAAACACGAGGAAATTAAATCTTCATCAGAGTACAAAACAAATTCTGGCCACAAAATAGAGCGAAACACCAACGTCAAAGACCTGGGAGTGATCATGTCGGAGGATCTCACCTTCAAGGACCATAACATTGTATCAATCGCATCTGCTAGAAAAATGACAGGATGGATAATGAGAACCTTCAAAACTAGGGAGGCCGAGCCCATGATGACACTCTTCAGGTCACTTGTTCTATCTAGGCTGGAATATTGCTGCACACTAACAGCACCTTTCAAGGCAGGTGAAATTGCTGACCTAGAAAATGTACAGAGAACCTTCACGGCGCGCATAACGGAGATAAAACACCTCAATTACTGGGAGAGCTTGAGGTTCCTAAACCTGTATTCCCTGGAACGCAGGCGGGAGAGATACATGATTATATACACCTGGAAAATCCTAGAGGGACTAGTACCGAACTTGCACACGAAAATCACTCACTACGAAATCAAAAGACTTGGCAGACGATGCAACATCCCCCCAATGAAAAGCAGGGGTGTCTCTAGCACGTTAAGAGACCATACAGTAAGTGTCAGGGGCCCGAGACTGTTCAACTGCCTCCCAGCATGCATAAGGGGGATTACCAACAGACCCCTGGCAGTCTTCAAGCTGGCACTGGACAAGCACCTAAAGTCGGTTCCTGACCAGCCGGGCTGTGGCTCGTACGTTGGTTTGCGTGCAGCCAACAGTAACAGCCTGGTTGATCAGGCTCTGATCCACCAGGAGGCCTGGTCACAGACCGGGCCGCGGGGCGTTGACCCCCGGAACTCTCTCCAGGTAAACTCCAGGTATCAAAATGCATGTGACCACTTAAATTTGATATTTCTTAAGGTTTGAGGTTGTAACCAAGACTTATTAGGATTGTGGTACAAGTAATGCTAAATAGAGGAAATTAATTGTAGTACTTAAGGTGATGGCCATGAAATGTTATTTTGGAGTCTTGTAATGTTTGTTTTTCATCTAGATTATCGCCGAAGACACTGCTGACTTTTTGCACCAATGGTGTCCTCCTAAGAACACTTATGGGAGGAGATTCTTCTCTTGCCAGTGTGACACACAGTAAGTTTTGAGTTTCAGTTTTAAGTTGAAAATAAATACAATTACTTAATTCAAGTTCATACCTGTGTTATCTTCTGTACTGCCAAAAAGCTGGTATGCAAAACCTGATGTGACAAGGAATAAAACCATGACCCATTACAAAATAATTAAAAAATTTTAATCCCAAAATGTGGATCACTCAGATTGCTTACAACAATCTGGCATGTGTCATGGTACCAAGTAAAATGTTTCACTTTAAATGAAAGATTATAAAAACAAGTTACAAGTCAAAATTTATGCTGGATGATATTGGTCCTCTAATTAGAACACTTAGTTACTTTCTGCATAAAGTTTCTATCACTTGGGATTTACTTCCCTCTTCTCCCTCAAGTAAATAGTTAACTATAGTTATGCTAACTTTTTATATGAAATTTTTATAGCAACTTTTCCTATTTATCATCATATTTTCTTGACAGTTCTTGTGGATGAGGTCCATGAGAGAGACAGGTTCACAGACTTCCTTCTGATAGTGTTGAGAGACTGCCTCCCCAAGTTCCGCCATCTTAAACTTCTACTTATGTCGGCTGCACTAGATGTTAACCTCTATGCCAAATATTTTAACAACTGCCCAGTGATTGATGGTATGTAGTGTATTTGCTGTATTTGGTCAGTCCTATATGTATTAGAACCTAAGATTTTTAAGGAAAATTATACACAAAGTATGTACATGCATTATTTATAGTGAAGCAAACTTGATTACCATGTACGTATACAAAGAAAGATACATATGATTCAATAAAGAGGAATTAATTATCTTATACAAAGGTAATTTCCATATAGTTCCTAATGGAGGAAGCTTTAATTTTCATTGAGACTATTCATTATGGAAAATAACTAGAAATCATGAAAAATAGATAAAAATACAAAAAATCTGAAAAGAGACAGTTTTATCATGATACAAGGTTGTTTTCTCTTGTCTGTTTCTTCCCTGTCTTAGGTGCCTCTTACAGTATATTTAACTTATACAACTCTCATAACCATCAGTGAAAGCTGTATATATAGTATTTTTTCACATTGTGGGGATAAATTGATGCAACAAACAGTGTCATCATGACTGTTTTCCATTCTGAGAGAAAGAGGTTTTTTTGCCCCAAAAAATCGCTGAACTATAGTTTGGCATTTTCACCATTTTCGGCTGGATTTTCAAAATTCATTAAAATCACACCAGGCGTACCATTTTCTATGCTGATTCAGAATATATACTTGAAAATATAAAATGAGATCATTTTAGCATTATACAAGGCCTTAACATTTATTGAAATTTCTTTTAGTATCTAAAGCTAAAATTGAACTATCTACCATTATATGTTAAAAGAATTAAAAAAATAGTTGCTTCTTTACAGTAATTTCCAATTTGTGTCAGTGTGGTGCTGTAGTAGCAAAATATGTTTGCAACATTTTATGCAAAATAAAAGCATCATGCTTTCCTTCATTATTCCTTCAAGGGGTTGCTTAGATGTAGGTTAAGAACTTATGTTGCAGGGAATTATAGATACCATTTTTTTCCTAGGATCAAACCCAGTTCCTTTCATTCCCCAGGCACAGTATGACTTCTACAGGTTTAGTGCTTCTCCTTAATATAATAATTATTTTTTCTTTACAGTAAACATTCTTATAAAGAAAGAAAAATCATAGTACTGTGATTGAAACAATTCACAAATAACCCACACTTAGGAGAGGGAACTTACCAGTATGTGGATGTTTCAGTACATTCTGAACCATTGTCAAGTCAAGTGAGGACCTGACGTTGGTCAAGGATGGAGTGAAGTGTCGTCATAAGTTTCCTGTTCTAAGTGCACAGCACTGTATGATAATGGGTTTAGTGTCTAGTTTTTATTATAAAAATAATAATCTTCTAAGTGCCAAGTTATTTGCAAATCATACCTTGTAGATCAAAGTTGATTACAAAGATCAAAATAAACCTGCATGAATCTGTCAATAATTTGGTGATTTACCATCACTTGGCAGGAATTTCTCTGTAAATTTTTTCTCTTTTTTGCAGTTCCTGGAAGGTGCTATCCTGTGAAAGAGTATTTTCTAGAAGATGTGCTAAAATAGTAAGTACAGTAGGGCCCCGCTTTACGGCATTTCACTTTACGGCGTTTCACTTTACGGCGTTCCGCTAATACGGTCATTTCAAATTATGACCAAAACTCGCTATGCGGCTCCCCCCACCTGACTTTCTAATACGGTCACCGTGCCCCACCCTGTTTGTTTACATTCTCCGTGATCTCAGTAAGCACTAAGTCTCTCCATTTTGTCTGGAAACTCCAAAATTTCAAATGTTTTTAAAAGTTATTTCATATTTTATATATACTCTGATAATTATACTTATGTATACCTGTACCTAAATAAACTTACACACTGTGCTGGCGTGCAGGTACACATTAAAATCAGTAAGAGTGTCTTATGTCTCCAGGCGTCATATTAGTAATGATAATAATAATCATCGAGTCATTTAAATGTCGTATATTACGTTAATATACACATTTTCATTAATCCATCTATGATATTTTTTCAAAATTATATAATAAACACGATGCATAATATATAAATAAGATAAATACACCCCACAGTAGAATAAATAAACATAAATGTGAGATGTGGTAGCAGACGACTTGCACAAGTGACGCCATATTAGAAATGATAATAATAATAATAACAATACTCACCGAGTCTCATTAAATGTCGTATATTACGTTAATATACACATTTTCATTAATCCATCGATGATATTTTTTTCAAAACTATATAATAAACACGATACATAACATAAAAAGATGATAAATACACCCCACAATAGAATAAATAAATATAAATATAAGATGTGGGAGCCAGATAACTTGTACAAGTGACGGCAAGAATAACATTTTCTCTAATCTAACATAAGAGAAAATGTGTTACTGGGGGCAACTGTAGAAAATTATTCCTTTCGTATGTATGTAAGTAAGTTTATTCAGGTATACACAAATACAGTTACATAGATTATCATACATAACAACATATGTGTAGAGAACCTAGGATAACCCAAAAAAGTCAGTGTGACTTATTTCCATTGCCTTCACTCAGAGCTTCATTTCTTCTCAAAATGATGTTACATGAGAATGGGAGTGTTCTTCTTTATTTATTCTACCGTATCAATGTAGAGACAACCTGTACACAATGTAACTTGTACACAAACCAGACGTGTACACTGTTTGTTTACAAAACTTACCTTCGCCTGGTTTGTTTACATAACTCTGCGCCTGTCCCCTCTCATGTACTCATTCTTTCTCTCTCTCATTTATTTGTTTTATCTCATTTACTTACTCCTGACCCTACATTAAGACTACAAATATTTTAAGGTAAGTAATGAGTGAACTGTATATACATTTTATCGCTCTGGGATGCTTAAATATCATAGAATATATGTGTGGGTGGGGTGGCCTGGTATGGTAGCCTGGCTGACTACCATACATACCACACTTGATTTTTTACAATAAATACTACTCATCTCACCCTATATTTTAAGGTAAGTAATGAGTGAACTGTATATACATTTTATCGCTCTGGGATGCTTAAATATCATAGAATAGTATGTGTGGGTGGGGTGGCCTGGTATGGTAGCCTGGCTGATTACCTTACATACCACACTTGATTTCTTACAATAAATACTACTTGTCTCACCCTAGATTAAGACTATAAATATTTTAAGGTAAGTAATGAGTCCACTATCTGTGTAGTGTACTTTTTTATTGTTTTTTGATGCCTGGTTCTATTGCTAACTTAATATATGTTAGTGTAAACTTGTTATCTAGTGTTTGTATGCATTTATAAGTGGAAAAAAAGGGTGTTCCACTTTACGGCGGTTTCCGCTTTACGGCGGTAGCCTGGAACCTAACCTGCCGTATAAGTGGGGCCCTACTGTATTGATAAAATATCTTCATTATTTATAGACAGTGTATGTGTTAAACAGTTTAGCAAGAGAATGTCATGGGGAAATTGGCAGTCACTGAAGAGATATATTTTTTTATGAATAATTAAGACCTATTATATTTTTGAAAGATGATTCAGCAGCAACTGAAGTTAACTTTTTCATATATGCAGAAAGTATTTGACTGTTAACCCTTTCACACACTCTTGCATAGACCTGTCTTAATCATAGCACCCTTAGTTGTACTGTGATTGGCAAATTTTGGCCTAGACATGAGAGAATTGGTATGTGAAGAAAAAAATCCTGCCCCATGCAGCACATAGTATGAACAGCTAGTGTTGATTAACCCTTTCAGGGTCAACAGGCCCTCTCAGAGACTTGTTCTCAGGGTCGCCCAAATTTCAAAAAAAAAAAAAAAATCGAAGATAGAGAATCTTTTCCCGATCATAATGACACCAAAAGTATGAAATTTGATGGAAAACTTACAGAATTATGCTCTCGCAAAGTTAGCGGTCTCGATGATCTTTACACATAGGCGATTTTGCCCACTTTGAACCCTATTTTCAGCCAATTCCACTGTACTAGTTGACAAAAATCATGAATATTTTGCTAGAACTCCATTTTTTCTATCAAATGAGTGCAAAAAACCACCCATTTACCAATTTCAACTATCCAATACAGTGGTCAGAATTTAGCAATTTTGCCAATTTCACACAAATTTCAAAAGATGCCAATTTCCAAATAGGGTCCAGAATAAACAAGAAAGACATTCCTGGCACTAAAATGACATTTCCTCTGTTCATTAGTCACGTCCCAACGCCCCTCTTATATTCTTTTGCTTTCCACTTTGAATTTTTATTCTCACAAAAAATAGATTTACTGTTATGCAGACTACTGCATTAGTGTAAAAAATGGTATAAATAATATCGGCGCACTTGTGAAAGAATATTAGACTCACCAGTTGACGTGTATTGGACGCTTAGCATGATTTGTTTACTTTTGAACTTTGGTAAAAATTGAACATTTCTGCTACGTTGAGCTCAATTTCAAGGTACTTTTCATTGTAAAATCAGTCAAAATCATCTCAATTTCTGTAATATGTCTTCCATTCTATAGAATGAGACCAGGAAAACTAGAATACAACAATAAATACCATTTTTTTTTTTATCTGTTGCTAAATCGTAAGACACACTAGTGAAATTGATATGATTTTGGTTGGTTTCAGACCGGCAGTAGCAAAGATACTCAATTTTTTGTCAATTTTCTTGGGGAATGGTAGGGTCCCCTCTACCCTCCCTCAGTTTATTTGATGGGTTTTTACTAGCTCTGCTTCAATTATTGAGACAGCCTAAACCATGACCAATCATTTTTGGTTATATCTTATTAAACAAGAGATAGGATAAAGCTTCAGTATATTTGGGTTGATGAGTTCAAAATAGAAGGAAAGCAGTATATAGGAAAGGCCTGGGGACATGATTAATGAACAGAGGAAACGTTGCTTTAGTGGCTGGAATGACTGGTGTTTATTTTACACTCTTGTTTATGAATTGTAATTTGTTGAAATTTGTATAACCTCTGCTAAACTACTGACTTCTTGGCACTTTATAGAGTAGTTCTGATAGTTGAATGGGCAGTTTCTTGCGCTCAATCAATAGAATGAAATTGGGTTGGTTTGAGCAATGAAATGGTCTAAAACGAGCTCAAAGTGGGTGATATCACTGATTCATAAATTTTTCCCAGATCTCCTACTTCAGGTTTGTGTAATTCCGTAAGTTTCCCATCAAATCTCAAATTTTTTGTATCATTACATTCCGAAAAAAATTATCTACCATTTTAGAGTTTTTTTTTATCATGAAAGTAAAAGGGTTAATTTGATAAGTTGTGGAAAACTTTAACAAAAATTATTAGCACTCAAATACTTTCCATTTCAGCACTAACTACCAAACTCCTGAAATGGTGAAAGCTAGCAAGGAACTAGAACAGCGGCAGAGTGGCCAGAAGACAGCGACTGCATGGACACAACAACTATCACAACAAATTCTGAGCAATGTGTCAGCAGCATCAGCACTAGCATCACCTAACAAAATATCTAATACTTCTCAATCAAAGAATCAGGGTACTTTTTTATTAGTCAAGTTTAATGTTATCAGTATACTAAGACCCAACTTTAAAATTTCACTATGTAATGAAATATTTGGTTTTATGTTAAACCACATTATGTTGATTATAACATGTGTTTTTTTTTCTAACACGTTGGCTATTTCCCACTGAGGTAGGGTGACCCAAAAAGAAAGAAAAAAACTTTCATCATCATTCAACACTTTCACCATTACTGATACATAATCACTGTCTTTGTAGAGGTGCTCAGGTATGACAGTTTAGACATCCCACTAAACTGCCAATATCTTAAACCCCTCCTTTAAAGTGCAGGCATTGTACTTCCCATTTCCAGGACTCAAGTCCGGCTAACTGGTTTCCCTGAATCCCTTCACAAAATATTACCCTGCACACACTCCAACAGCTCGTCAGGTCCCAAAAACAATTCGTCTCCATTCACTCCTATCTAATATGCTCACGCATGCTTGCTGGAAGTCCAAACCCCTCGCCCACAAAACTTTCTTTGCCCCTTCCCTTCAAGCTTTTCGGGGATGACCCCTACCCCGCCTTCCTTCCGCAACAGATTTATATGCTCTCCAAGTCATTCTACTTTGTTCCATTCTCTCTAAATGACCAGACTGCCTCAACAGCCCCTCTTCATCCCTCTGACTAATACTTTTAGTAACTCCACACCTCCTCCTAATTTCCACACTATGAATTCTCTGCATAATATTTACACCGCGTATTGCCCTTAGACATGACATCTACACTGCCTCCAGTCACCTCCTCGCTGCAGCATTTGCAACCCATGCTTCACACCCATATAAGAGTGTTGGTACCACTATCTCTTGTACACACACTTCTTTGCCTCCATGTATAACATTCTTTGTCTCCACAGATACCTCAACACACCATTCACCCTTTTCCCTTCATCAGTTCTATGGTTTACCTCATCCTTCATAAACCCATCCACTGACAGGTCAACTCCCAAATATCTGAAAACATTCACTTCTTCCATACTCCCTCCCTCCAATGTGATATCCAATTTTTCTTTATCTAAATTGTTTGATACCCTCATCAAATTGCACTAACCTTTGCAACTTTTCTTTAGAATCCCCCAGAAGCCCTGTATCATCAGCAAAAAGCAACTGTCAACTCCCATTTTGTATTTGATTCCCTATAATTTAATCCCACCCCTCTCCCCAACACTAGCATTTACTTTTTTTACAACCCCATCTATAAATATGTTAAACAACCATGGTGACATTACACCTCCCTATCTAAAACCTACTTTTACTAGGAAGTAATCTCACTCTCTCCTACACACCCTAACCAGAGCCTCACTATCCTCAAAAACTCTTTACAGCATTTAGCAACATCTGCCACATTTCTCCATTATCCATTCTGTCATATGCCTTTTCTGAATCCATAAATGCAATGAAAACTTCCCTACCTGTTTCAATGTAAACACCTGATCTACACACCCCCTACTCATTCTAAAGCCTCCTTGCTCATCTGCAATATTGCTCTCTGTCTTACCTCTAATTCTTTCAATAATAACCCTTCCATACACTTTACCTGGTATACTCCGTGAACTTATTCCCCTACAATTTTTACAATCTCTCTTGTCCCACTTTCCCTTATATAAAAGAATTATACATGCTCTCTGCCAATCCCTAGGTACCTTCCCCTCTTTCATACATTTATTAAACAAAAATACCAACAACTCATAATTTGATGAGGAATCAAATTCAAAATGGGAATTGACACAGTTACTTTTTGCTGATGATACTGTGCTTATGGGAGATTCTAAAGAAAAATTGCAAAGGTTAGTGGATGAGTTTGGGAATGTGTGTAAAGGTAGAAAGTTGAAAGTGAACATAGAAAAGAGTAAGGTGATGAGGGTGTCAAATGATTTAGATAAAGAAAAATTGGATATCAAATTGGGGAGGAGGAGTATGGAAGAAGTGAATGTTTTCAGATACTTGGGAGTTGACGTGTCGGCGGATGGATTTATGAAGGATGAGGTTAATCATAGAATTGATGAGGGAAAAAAGGTGAGTGGTGCGTTGAGGTATATGTGGAGTCAAAAAACGTTATCTATGGAGGCAAAGAAGGGAATGTATGAAAGTATAGTAGTACCAACACTCTTATATGGGTGTGAAGTTTGGGTGGTAAATGCAGCAGCGAGGAGACGGTTGGAGGCAGTGGAGATGTCCTGTTTAAGGGCAATGTGTGGTGTAAATATTATGCAGAAAATTCGGAGTGTGGAAATTAGGAGAAGGTGTGGAGTTAATAAAAGCATTAGTCAGAGGGCAGAAGAGGGGTTGTTGAGGTGGTTTGGTCATTAGAGAGAATGGATCAAAGTAGAATGACATGGAAAGCATATAAATCTATAGGGGAAGGAAGGCGGGGTAGGGGTCGTCCTCGAAAGGGTTGGAGAGAGGGGTAAAGGAGGTTTTGTGGGTAAGGGGCTTGGACTTCCAGCAAGCGTGCGTGAGCGTGTTAGATAGGAGTGAATGGAGATGAATGGTACTTTGGACCTGACGATCTGTTGGAGTGTGAGCAGGGTAATATTTAGTGAAGGGATTCAGGGAAACCGGTTATTTTCATATAGTCGGACTTGAGTCCTGGAAATGGGAAGTACAATGCCTGCACTTTAAAGGAGGGGTTTGGGATATTGGCAGTTTGGAGGGATATGTTGTGTATCTTTATATGTGTATGCTTCTAGACTGTTGTATTCTGAGCACCTCTGCAAAAACAGTGATAATGTGCGAGTGTGGTGAAAGTGTTGAATGATGATGAAAGTATTTTCTTTTTGGGGATTTTCTTTCTTTTTTGGGTCACCCTGCCTCGGTGGGAGACGGCCGACTTGTTGAAAAAAAAAAAAAAAAAAAAACAACAACTCCAACATTATATCTCCTCCTGCTTTTAACATTTCTCTCATGATCTCATCAGTTCCAGCTGCTTCACCCCCTTTCATTCTGCATAATGCCTCATGCACATCCCCCACACTCATATCCTGCTCTTCTTCACTCCTAAAAGATGTTATTCCTTCCTGACCAGTGCATGAAATTACTGCTTCCCTTTCTTCATCGACATTTAAAAGTTCCTCAAAATATTCCCGCCATTTACCCAATACCTACGGCTCCCCATCTAATAATTCCCCTACTCTGATTTGACTAAGAGGACCTTGAACTCTGCTTGGAAGAAACTGTGGCCACAGTGTGTAGAAGAAAGGGGTTTTGAAGGGTTTGGGGCTAACCCTGAGAAGTGTATGCCAGTTGTGGAATCGGGGAAGTCCTTGGGGTTGGAGGTTAGTGGGGAGGATGTGGAAGAGTTGGTGGAGGAGGACAGTGAAGAACTAACCACTGATGAGCTGCAAGATCATCTTCAACAACAAGAGGCCAGACCTGAGGAAACTGCTTCAGAGGAGGGGAGAGAGAAATTGAGGAAGTTGCCTACTTCAAAAATTAAGGAAATGTGTGCAAAGTGGGTTGAACTGCAAACCTTTACAGATGAAAATCACCCTGACACAACTACTGCAAGCCGTGTTGGCAACCTGTACAATGACAATGTTATGGCCCATTTTAGGAAAGTCTTAAAGGAACGGGAGGTACAGAGCTCTATGGACAGATTTGTTGTGCGACAGAGGTCCAGTGACTCAAGCTGGTCCTTATATTTTTTTATTAACACACTGGCCGATTCCCACCAAGGCAGGGTGGCCCAAAAAAGAAAAACTTTCACCATCATTCACTCCATCACTGTCTTGCCAGAAGGGTGCTTTACACTACAGTTTTTAAACTGCAACATTAACACCCCTCCTTCAGAGTGCAGGCACTGTACTTCCCATCTCCAGGACTCAAGTCCGGCCTGCCGGTTTCCCTGAATCCCTTCATAAATGTTACTTTGCTCACACTCCAACAGCACGTCAAGTATTAAAAACTATTTGTCTCCATTCACTCCTATCAAACACGCTCACGCATGCCTGCTGGAAGTCCAAGCCCCTCCCACACAAAACCTCCTTTACCCCCTCCCTCCAACCTTTCCTAGGCCGACCCCTACCCCGCCTTCCTTCCACTACAGACTGATACACTCTTGAAGTCATTCTGTTTTGCTCCATTCTCTCTTCATGTCCAAACCACCTCAACAACCCTTCCTCAGCCCTCTGGACAACAGTTTTGGTAATCCCGCACCTCCTCCTAACTTCCAAACTACGAATTCTCTGCATTATATTCACACCACACATTGCCCTCAGATATGACATCTCCACTGCCTCCAGCCTTCTCCTTGCTGCAACATTCATCACCCATGCTTCACACCCATATAAGAGCGTTGGTAAAACTATACTCTCATACATTCCCCTCTTTGCCTCCACGGACAAAGTTCTTTGTCTCCACAGACTCCTAAGTGCACCACTCACCCTTTTCCCTTTATCAATTCTGTGATTCACCTCATCTTTCATAGACCCATCCGCTGACACGTCCACTCCCAAATATCTGAATACATTCGCCTCCTCCATACTCTCTCCAATCTGATATATCCAATCTTTCATCACCTAATCTTTTTGTTATCCTCATAACCTTACTCTTTCCTGTATTCACTTTTAATTTTCTTCTTTTGCATACCCTATCAGATTCATCCACCAACCTCTGCAACTTCTCTTCAGAATCTCCCAAGAGCACAGTGTCATCAGCAAAGAGCAACTGTGACAACTCCTACTTTATGTGTGATTCTTTATCTCTTAACTCCACGCCTCTTGCCAAGACCCTCGCATTTACTTCTCTTGCAACCCCATCTATAAATATATTAAACAACCATGGTGACATCACACATCCTTGTCTAAGGCCTACTTTTACTGGGAAATAATCTCCCTCTTTCCTACATACTCTAACTTGAGCCTAACTATCCTCATAAAAACTCTTCACTGCTTTCAGTAACCTACCTCCTACACCATACACCTGCAACATCTGCCACATTGCCCCCCTATCCACCTTGTCATACGCCTTTTCCAAATCCATAAATGCCACAAAGACCTCTTTAGCCTTATCTAAATACTGTTCACTTATATGTTAATGTTGCAGTTTAAAAACTGTAGTGTAAAGCACCCTTCTGGCAAGACAGTGATGGAGTGAATGATGGTGAAAGTTTTTCTTTTTCGGGCCACCCTGCCCTGGTGGGAATCGGCCAGTGTGATAATAAAATAAATAATAAAATTATATGTTTCACTGTAAATACCTGGTCCACACACCCCCTACCTTTCCTAAAGCCTCCTTGTTCATCTGCTATCCTATTCTCCGTCTTACTCTTAATTCTTTCAATAATAACTTTACCATACACTTTACCAGGTATACTTAACAGACTTCTTCTTTCTTTCTTTCAACACACCGGCCGTATCCCACTGAGGCGGGGTGGCCCAAAAGGAAAAACGAAAGTTTTTCCTTTCAAATTTAGTAATATATATAGGAGAAAAGGTTACTAGCCCCTTGCTCCTGGCATTTTAGTCGCCTCTTACAACACGCATGGCTTACGGAGGAAGAATTCTGGTCCACTTCCCCATGGAGATAAGAGGAAATAAACAAGAACAAGAACTAGAAAGAAAATAGAAGAAAACCCAGAGGGGTATGTATATATATGCTTGTACATGTATGTGTAGTGTGACCTAAGTGTAAGTAGAAGTAGGAAGACGTACCTGAAATCTTGCATGTTTATGAGACAGAAGGACACCAGCAATCCTACCATCATGTAAAACAATTACAGGCTTTCATTTTACACTCACTTGGCAGAACGGTAGTACCTCCCTGGGCGGTTGCTGTTTACCAACCTACTACCTAAAACTCAACAGACTTATTTCCCTATAATTTTTTGCACTCTCTTTTGTCCCCTTTGCCTTTATACAAAGGAACTATGCATGCTCTCTGCCAATCCCTAGTTACCTTATCCTCTTCCATACATTTATTAAATAATTGCACCAACTACTCCAAAACTATATCCCCACCTGCTTTTAACATTTCTGTCTTTATCCCATCAAGCTGGTCCTAGTGGCATTAAAAGAAGGGAAGTAACCCCAGAAAAGGACTTGCTACCTCAAGTCCTAATGGAAGGGGGATTCCCCTTCTAAACAATAACTTCCACACTCTCCCCTCCTCCTGTCCCATCAATCATCACCAGATCTTCAATGAAGGTAAGTGTCATGTATTCTATTCTTAGTGGAGTAGTAATTGTGCATGTCTTCTTCAGTTTGTGTGTATTAAAATTAATATTTCATGTGGTAAAAAAAAAAATGTTTTTTCATGCTTTGGGGTGTCAGGAACGGATTAATTTGATTTCCATTATTTCTTATGGGGACAATTAATTCAGCTGACGATAATTTTGGCTTATGATGAGCTCTCAGGAACGGATTAATATCATAAGACGGGGGTCCACTGTATAGGAGAGTCACTGATGTAAGTAGACGTTCTTTATTTGTTCGTTACCCCTGTTTATTCCGTCTCTTTTCTCTCCGCCTACATTCGCTCTTGTCTTCTCTTCAGTTACCACCTCTCTATGTTCATGTAGCATCTCACTTTCCCTGCCCCCTTGGGAAGTTCCGGCTGCTCATGTTTGTTCTTTCCGACTGCCAGGCGCGAAAGCCCAACTACCTTCAGTGGCTTCCCTCTCTTTTTCTTGACCACTTCCACTCTCATTCTCATGCCATTACAGTATACATCGACGGTTGTAAGTCGGATTCGCAGCAGTGTTTCCGGACATTGTCGTGTGAGGGCATTTATTACCCTCGGCTAGCATTTTTACAGCTGAATTGTATTCCATTCTTGTAACACTTATCCATATTGCGTCTCTGCCTGTGTCACCATTTGTGGTCGTTTCAGACTTCCTTAGTGCTTTACAGGCTAAGCAGAAATTTGATACACCTCACCCATTAGTTTTTCGTATCCAACTTTGGTCCCTGGTCATGTTTACGTACAGGGCAATGAACAGGCAGACACTGCTGCACGGTCAGCAGTACATGACCTCCCAGTTTCATATAGCCATAATATGTCATACAGAATTTTTAAGTGGTTTTACTCTAATAAATTCCATGTTTAACTTGGTCATGAATGTTGAAATAAATTTTTAGTATTTTAGAGAGCAGAGACAGTCTTGAATACTGCCATTGATATGATAGAAATCTGATTACGGGGAACGTAAAGCAAAAAATATTCATGCATTCACGTGTCACTGATAAATTTAAGCCAATATCAAGGTCATGGCACTGGAAATCGAGAGGGATAATGTCAGGTCCAGTTATGTCTGTTCTGAAGGTTAGAACATTTTGATAATGTACCCTACTGAGAGAGCCAGCAACTACAGACACAAATCCTAGGTCATAATTCATGTCAGGGATCTTCATCTTGGCCGTCTCAACAAGCTGACATCTACGAAGGCTTGAATACTCGAGCATATCTACCATGTAAAGAAAAATAGAATCAACGCAAAAATGAGAAAGGTTTAGGAAGACATTAGCAGGAATGAGAAAGTCCCTCAGTGACCACTGAGAAAAGTTAGAACTTCACCGAGTGAGATATAAACAAAGAAAGCGACTGCATTTCTGTGGCTTCACTATGTCCGTGATTTTTTTCCTCTGGTATACTGGTGCATGGTTCTGCTGTCTTTCAACCATCTTATGTTACTCTTAACAATTTCACTACCTTCTTCAAGCTAAATGGGGATCTTAACACCCAACATTTTTACTTCATGAACATCAAAATGGTATACAATACCGACAGGTTGTTAGGTAAGACACATATGCAACAGTTAGACAACTTTATTCCGAAACGTTTTGCCTACACAGTAGGCTTCTTCAGTCGAATACAGAAAGTAGGCAGGAACAGTAGAGATGTGAAGACGATGTAATCAGTCCATCACCCTTGAAGTCGTAGAATTTGAGGTTGTCAGTCCCTCGGCCTGGAGAAGTTCTACTGTGTAGGCGAAACATTTCGGAATAAAGTTGTCTAACTGTTGCATGTGTGTCTTACCTAACATTTTTACTTCATGTTCATGGCCTCTTCTCTCAGATATCCATTAAGGGAGGCTCCTTGATGTCAATAAGGTACTCTTGATTCAAGGATTTGCACCTGCTCTTCCTTTTTCTGGACTGAAAGAAATTACCTTCAATTCTCTCAAGTGCTGTATGGCCATTATGGGTTTAGTACTCTCATTAATGTAATAATCTCTGGGACAGCCTTTTAGTTTATTGTTTTCTGCGAACTGTGTACAGTACATTGAGATGTAGTGTGTTTATTAATGTATGTATAGAATGTTGGGCAATTTTTTGCTAAAAATGGTCTAAACAGGATAATTTATTGTAGTGATCATGTTCCGAGAGGAGAGGGTAGTTTGAGATTTTAAAAATGGTGAAAGACACCGTCATGTAAAGGGTGAGTTTAAACTAGAAGCTGTAGGCTATGCTTCTCTGGTTTTCTGTGTTATTTCAAGTGATTGGTGCTGCTGTATGGTGTATTTGAGATAACTTCGTATATCTTTCTACAGAACTGGATAACACATTAAAAGAAGAAATGGACAGCTGCATCCAGGAGGCTTTCCTAAGTGGTTCTGATGAAGCTTTCTCCCAAATGATGTACTTAATCATGTCTGAGAATGTCTCTCCAGACTATCAGGTCATTATTGCAATGGTCTATAATTTGTACATGTCTTAGAGTTGAATTTTCAAGTTTAAACTAAAATTGTTACAAGAATAATTAAAATTGAACACATCACAATATGTATGTTAAAGTAGAAATTCTAGCTGTAGAATTTATGTACATTATGACAGCATTCAGAAACGTGGGCAACACCCCTCATGGTTGCTTCTGGCCGTGGTCGAGTAGACGTAGTTGAGCAACTTCTGGCTCTGGGGTCATCTCTCACCCTGCGTGCTGCAAATGATTGGACAGCTGCTAGTTGGGCGAAATCTACAGGGCAGCAAGAAGCTTTAGATTTATTGCATGCATATAGGTGAGATAAAATGCTGCAAAATACAATCTGAAAGTTGCTTAAATGGAGATTAATAAAATATCATATATTTAACTTCTTTGCTTAAACTTGCATGTTCTTAAAGTGGAGCACACTATTCCTTTTTAGAGTATACACAAAGCTTTTTTATTATGAATTAGTGCCTGTGAAGGAGTAGATCTGCTATCTCTGACTGGCAAAGGAAGTCCTGCTCCAGTCAAAGGACTGCGGGGATTGACACCTGTTACACCCACCCCAGAGCTGAGTGCAGAAGACAAGAGGATGCTTGACTCTTACCACCACTCTGTGTCAGATGAGATTGTTGATGTTGATTTGGTTCATGCTCTCTGCTATAAACTCCATACTGACCAACCTCCAGGTTATGCCACACCTTATATTTTTTATCTATTGTATGTATTATGTTTATGAAGATATATTTTTTAAATTGCCTTAGCAAGTTTTAACAAATGGGATACTAGAAGAAGCAAGTTAGCTATACATATACCTGGGAGAAAGGAGTATCAAGACTAAATAGCTACCCACCATATCATATCAAGGAAAGTGTTTTAGAAATAATAAATATATTCTGAAATGATAATGAGACCCCTTAATTCTTTCCTTGGTGCAGGTGCAATTTTGATTTTTCTGCCGGGGTATGATGACATAGTGACCTTGAGGGATCGCATTATAGCTGAGGAAAAGCAGTACCTCATTGGGGGCAAATATTGTCTCTTTTGTTTGCACTCCAGTATGCAGGTAGGTGTTTTCTTATGATTGGTTTGGAGTTTGTGGTAGGATGATGTGAACATGTGCAAAGAATAAGAAATTAAAAGTTTGTTTTGTGGTACAACGCATATGGTAATTCACAAATAAGCCACACAAAGGAAACTTTAACTTATGTGTCTAGTTAATAGTCAGACTTGGACCATTAACAAGTCGCATACCGAAGTGTGAAGGGAAGGTTATCAGAATATATGTATACAAGAGGGGGACAGAGACCAAATCATCATCATTAGTTTCAGTCTCCTGTGTGCAAGTTATTTATGTATTGTTCCAGTCATGGTATTGTGCCTTTTATTCTCTACACAGTAATTCAGAGAGGAAGAGAGGGTTTCTGAGGTGGTTTAGTCGTGTAGAAACAGAAGGTTGAAAAGAGTTTTTTATAATTTTAGGTTGAGCAGAAGGTGGTGTAGGGAATATACGATGAAGGGTTGGAAGGTGTGAAAGAGGTATACACCAAGCATTTGCATATGTTAAAGTGAAATTAATGAAGGAGATTAGTTTCTGTGATTTAACTTCCTGTTATAGTGTGAGCATGGTAGTATCTAGGAAGGGATTAAGGAAAACCATTTAGTTATCATTATTAATCCATTTTTTTATTTGAACAAATTTTATTTATTCTCAGTCAAGTGACCAAAAGCGAGTTTTCCGACCTGCCCCACCAGGAGTTCGGAAGATTATACTGTCTACAAACATCGCAGAGACCAGTGTAACAATCAATGATGTTGTCTATGTTATTGATGCTGGTAAAGTTAAAGAGGTCAGTCATTAATAAATTAAATAAAATTCTTATTTGTGTTAAATTATTCATTCTATGTAGTCAGAGAAATATTGCTGCAGGCCAGAGATTTGCAAAATGTTTTTGGCCAAAAAAATTCTCCTCAGCATTTAGCCAAAAGTATTATGGTTGGCCCCAGCTTACAAACACCCCAAGTTGTATACAACTGCATTCACAGGTGGGACACTTTGTAAGGCAGTAAAATTTTACAACCTTTAAGCTGTCGTACAAACATGTGAAGCATCACTATTCTTTGTAGTAGTATTTTTTATTTAAACAACCCACTTGTAGGTGGAAAAGCTGAAAATCCAATTTCTTTGTAAGTTGGAGCCTGTTTATACTGGCAAAAAGTGTAATACTGAAATTCTTTTAATGATCAATTTAGTATAGTATCCTTTCTTAAAGTAGCTAAATTTCTTTACGAGTAGTTATCTCTGCAACTTTATTCTTGTATTTAACTTGTGTCATTTCTTGTCAGATGAGTTATGACTCAATGGTAGGCGTTTCTTGTCTGCGTGCAGTGTGGATCTCTCAGGCATCTAGTCAGCAGCGTCGTGGTCGAGCAGGAAGGTGCCAACCTGGTATCTGTTACCACCTGTTCTCTCAGAGCCGTTACAACTCCCTACAGCCTCACCAAACACCTGAAATACTGAGAACTCCTTTGCAGGTTTGCAAAATATTTTACAATAAAAATATCTTTTGCTCTTATGCACTAGTGTTGGTGTATTTTTTAAAAATATACTGAGAGGAAGCAACAAGTGGTGCCAGGTAGAAAAGTGGCTGATCTAACTAAGTAGGATACCTCTGGGGTTGATCCTTTGTCCATTACTTTTCATGGTCTATGTATGTGATCTTAAAGCAGGGCTGATGTAAAAATTCCAAAAGTTTGCATGAGTGATTTGTAAGTATTCTCCCACCCAGGTAAACTATTGTATTGGTGAGAGAAACATACAGAAAATTTCAGTGAAGACAGATTTAAAGAACAAGTATGTATGGAGCTTTGGAAACAATTATGAACATACATGTAAAACGTATCAACTAAAATTGCTTTCTGTAGGTCAGTATTTGAAATGATTTATAACACTGATCAAGATCACTTAATTTGATATAAAAGAAATTGCACTTTGTATAATTGAAATGTGATGTTATTCTGTAATACTTTACAGGGTGTTAGGTAAAGTTTTAGTTAAGTTCACTGAAATGTATTTTTTCACCTTAGGAACTTTGTCTGCATACTAAACTTCTGGCTCCAGCCAACATGCCTATAGCAGACTTTTTAGCACGTGCTCCAGAAGCTCCTGCTTTCATGGTCATTCGTAACGCAGTTCAGTTATTGAAGGTATGTTAACCAACTTTCAGCATTTTCTATATTGTATTGCCATAATTTCCTTATCATTCAATTTTCTTTAACATTTTGTACAATTCTCTACTCTGCATTGCTCATACTATTTTCATAATTGAGCTCTATATTGGCCAACTCTGGGTGATGTCCAGGACTTGTGTTGTGTGGGTTTAGCCTCTGTCTCTAAGCTGGCTCACCTGACCTAACTTGGAATTCTAGAGACATTTTGGCTTTCTAGGCTGCTTTAGTGTATGAAACCATAATTTAATTTCCTATTCAGAAACATTATGTTAGCTTAGGATGTTTTTAATAATGAAGTGATAAGGCCTTCTATCTCTTGTCATTTTTATCACTAAATTAATCCATACAGCATATCTTGGTTTTCATTGTCAGACCCACGTGACTGGATATTATATATTTCTTTCTTCTTTCAACACACCGGCCGTATCCCACTGAGGCGGGGTGGCCCAAAAGGAAAAACGAAAGTTTCTCCTTTTACATTTAGTAATATATACAGGAGAAGAGGTTACTATCCCCTTGCTGCTGGCATTTTAGTCGCCTCTTACAGCACGCATGGCTTATAGAGGAAGAATTCTGTTCCACTTCCCCATGGAGATAAGAGGAAATAAACAAGAACAAGAACTAGAAAGAAAATAGAAGAAAACCCAGAGAAGTAGCAAGATGTACCTGAAATCTTGCATGTTTAAGAGACAGAAAAAAGACACTAGCAATCCTACCATCATGTAAAACAATTACAGGTTTCCGTTTTACACTCACTTGGCAGGATGGTAGTACCTCCCTGGGTGGTTGCTGTTTACCAACCTACTACCTACAAAACTAGAAATTTATGTACATTTTATAAATTCTAGCTTGGAAATATTTTCCATACATTATTTGTAATTACATTTTTATGAGCTGTTTTAATACTTCTTTAAACCTTTGTTGCCTGTTAGCATGTACAATATATATTTAATTTGATAGAGTGGAGACAAGTGGTGTTTGGAATTTGATGTGCTGTTGGAGTGTGAGCAGGGTAATATTTTGTGAAGGGATTCAGGAAAATTAGTTAGCCTAACTTGAGTCCTGGAAGTGGTAGGTACAATGACTGCACTTTGAAGAAGGGATTTGGGATATTTGCCATTTAGAGTAGTCATGTAAACTGTCATATCTGCATGCCTCTGCAAAGACAAGGATAGTATGAATGATGGTGAAAGTGTTTCTTTTTTGGGGGGAGATGGCCAGCGTGTTGAAAAAAAAAATTAATTTAAATAGCATTTGTTTTATAGGTTTGGTAATAACACATGCATTTTGCCATACAGTATTTCACTAGACATAATAATTGGATTATATTGTATTATGTATACCTTATTACAGCAACTATCCCCAGACTATCTACAGTTAGTTAACACATCAGCAAGTATATAACCTGAGCTGAGATTAACTCCATACATAGCTAAAGAGTCATACCTACCCTGTGAGCTTCAGTTCTCATATCAGTGTTTTGCTTAAGAATTCTACCTACACCAGGAACTTAAAAATTCTCTTATCAAAACTTGTTTGGCAGAAGTGTACGAGGTTAAATATCTTTCTCAGAGGGACATGTTAGTGTTCAGATTCCTTCAAGGGAAGGTGCATTTAAAGCTGGTGAAGGACTCTTAAGCCAGGAAATGGACTAAATCTTCTCGTCATTTGATCAGATTAGATTTCCTTTCATTACCCAGGCACTGTATGACATCTGTTGGTTTAGTGCTTCTGTAAATACAGTGGACCCCCGGTTAACGATATTTTTTCACTCCAGAAGTATGTTCAGGTGCCAGTACTGACCGAATTTGTTCCCATAAGAAATATTGTGAAGTAGATTAGTCCATTTCAGACCCCCAAACATACATGTACAAACGCACTTACATAAATACACTTACATAATTGGTCGCATTCGGAGGTAATCGTTATGCGGGGGTCCACTGTATAACAATATTGTTCAAAGTTCTATATTTAGAAATCACTTTGTTTTAAGGAGTGAGAACCAATTATTATTAGTTCTATGATAATAATTACTGTGTAAGAAACCAGATATTTTCTAGAGTATGGATGCTTTGGATGGGTGGGAGGATGTGACTGAGCTTGGACATCATCTCCTGGACCTTCCTTTGCCACCACGCCTGGCCAAGATGGTTATCACAGCCACAGTACTCAAGTGTCTTGATCCAGTGCTTACCATTGCAGCTTGTTTAGCTTACAAGTAAGTTGAGGCAAGAAAAAAAGCACTCATTATCATGCAGAAGAATTTATTTTCTTATAATCCTATTTGAACTTTCCAACTTCAATCATTATATAATCTAGGTCTGAATTGACATGCTGTTGTGTGAACAAGGTAACATCAAGGGATTCAGGGAAACCAGCTAGCTGGACTTGAGTCCTGGTAGTAGGAACTCCAGAACCTGCACTCTGAATGAGGGGTGGGGATATTGCAGTTTGGAGAGGCATCTGAACTGTAATGTTGGCACTCCTCTGGCAAAAATGATGAGAGTGAATGAAGGCGAAAGTGTTTCTTTTTTTTCAAGTCGCTCTACCTAGGTAGGAGACAGTCGGTGTATTAAAAAAATAATTTGAATATTTTTATTGTTCTCCAGAGATCCTTTCACACTACCAAAGCATCCAAGCGAGAAAAGGAATGCCAATGCAGTACGAAGGAAATTTACGTCTGGAACATACAGCGACCATATGGTTCTTTTGAAAGCTTTCCAGGTATGAATTGTCAAAATAATACCAACTAACTTGATAATGCTTGTTTTACTACTACCAGGAAAACAAAAGGTTATCATTTTGAATTCTCACTATCAAGTAATTTTTAATCTAGAAACCATAATTGGAGTGACCCTGTCAGATGGGGCTATGAAAACTGAAGTGAACTATAAAATAGACAAGGTTTATGTGAGAGCATTACATTGAAGTGAGTGGAGATGGCTGGTATTATGGTTCAGCGTGTGATGCTGGAGTATGAGCAAGGTAACATTTATAAAGGGATTTGGGATAAACCAGGTAGCCTGACTTGAGTCCATGGCAACTTATCTTAAGTAGAATAATATGTTTTTGACAGTAACAAAAGCCTTTTGCAAATCAATAAAAGTTCATTAAGGTATTCATTTCTTTCAAGTACTGAATAAACTGTGTTACTCATATTTGTTATTTATCATTTGTGCTCTTGTAGGTTTATATCTAAATTTACAAGGAGTAAACATATTGTATCTGCTTCAATATTGAATATTTTGGCCTCACGCTGAGGCCCATGTACAGTATATTTATGGTATGAAAACTGCCAAGGAATGCTCTATGCTCAGAACATTTCTCTTGTATATCAGGCATGGCAGAAGGCATGTGGTGAGGGGTGGGAAAGAGGCTGGTGTGAGCGTAACTATGTATCAGGAGCTACAATGGAGATGATCCATGGCATGCGCTCCCAGGTATTGGCTCAGCTGCGGGGAGCTGGATTTGTTCGTGCTCGTGGACCTGGAGACATCAGGTATATTTATATTTCATTTCATTCTATTGGATTTTTATACGTAATTTAAAGTTGTGAAGACTATCTGATAAACCTTATATCCTCTAGCATGTTTTCACAAATTTTAATATTTTAAAAATTTATTAGAACTGTAGAATAGATGAGGGAGAAAAAAGGTGGGTGGTGTGTTAAAAAAAAGTTTGAGAGGAAAAAAAAAGCAGATGTTACAAAGTATAGTGGTACCAGCATATTTATTTGACTGTGAGGCATGTGTTTTGAACACTGCATTGAGGAGGAAGCTACAGGCAGTAGAGATGGCATGTTTGACAGTGATTGGTGCTAGGGATATGATAAAGAGAATTCAGAACATACAAATTTATAGGCAGTGTTGAAAGTCGCAAGGCAGAGGAGAGATTGTTGATGTGTTTTAGGCAGATGGAGGTGATGGGGAGGGCTAGGATGGCAAAGAGTGTATAAACTTGGGGTAGAAGGTAAGAGGGTGAGAAGTCATCCCATGAATGGTTAGACTCACCGTTAGAGGAAGGAGATAAAAGAGGTTTAGAGTTTAGGAACTTGAGCATTCATCAGGCTTTTGTGAGCATGTAAGAGATTTGTGAAGTGATTGTTGTTGAATGTGCTATTGGAGTTTGAACAAGGGAACATTTATGAATGGATTCAAGGAAGGCAGTTAGCTGGACTTGAGCCCTGGAAGTGGGAAGTACAGTTCCTGCACTGAAAAGGAGGGTAACTTAAATTCTGATGTCTACACACTTCTGGCAAGACAGTGATTGAAAAAATGGTGAATTATTTTCTACCTTTTGTTACCCTGTCTTAGCAAGAGATGGCCACTAAGATAAAAAAAACTAATTGACTAAATAGGAATATGTTAAAATGTGTTCTGCATTTCATTTTACTTCCTTCACTTCATAAAAATAACAAACTATACTTAAAATGTAGAAACACTGAGTACAGTATATGCAATAAGTCATCTCAATAAATTTACAGTATTATAAAGGTATTCCCATAACATAGAGTTAACACTAAGAAAAATATTTGAAATCTTTTAGGAGGGTTGACAAAATGTGTAAATCAGATTCCAAGGCACCTAAATCCTTAGTAATATATGTTACTCTAATTTTCAGAGATGTAAATAGCAACAGTGATAACTGGGCAATGGTAAAGGCTGCTCTGGTATCAGGCATGTATCCGAACCTTATTAGGGTTGATCGGGACCAGTGCCAGCTTAGAACACAGTAAGTTAAGGACACTTGTAAATTCATACTTGTATTTCTTGATAAATCATTCTTCAGTGTAACCATTCACTTTCAGATGATCCTTAAGCCATTTTATCATCCTGCCTGTTGCCCTAGTGTGTGCTACCAGCTCTTGCATTTTCATTCTTTATGGTACTGTCAGAAGTTTCCTTTCAGCCTAGGAATTTGCAGTTCATCTTGTCAAAAGTCTCTAATTAGGCTTGTAAGAAAAGATTTTTTGTTTCTGAAGTCATGCTTATGCTCTATGAGGAGGTCTGTATTTTCTGACTGTTTCAATGTTGTTGTTATTTCTTATTCATTTTCATTGAGTTGTCTGTCTGTCTCCCACCGAGGCAAGGTGACCTGAAAAAAAGAAAAACACTTCGACATTCTTCTTCATTTTGCATTTAATAATTTATACAGGAGAATAGATTACTAGCCTCTTGCTCCCGGTATTTTAGTAGCCTCTTATGACACGTATGTCTTATGGAGGAAGGATTCTTTTCCACTTTTCTATTTAAATTTATGGGAGAGGGAGATTTTAACTCTTGTATTATTGTTCAGGTCATTCCATATCTATAGAACTCTCAGGTTGAAGAAGTATTTTCATACCCAGAAGTCAACTACATCTTCCACTATCTTACACATGTCTTTTTCATATGCCATCTCATCATTCCTATCTTTCAAGATCTTCTGGATGTTTCTCAAACTCTGAGAGACCAGTTCCAGTCTTGTAAGCCTCCCAGCTCTTTATTTTTTCATATTAATCATGGCCTTAGCCACTTTATCTGATGTCTCTTAGTAATAGTAGTAAGTGTAGTATGCCATCATTTTCTGTTGTTTACATGTACCTCCTGTCTCCCTGCTGTACATTATTACTATTAATTTAAATGTATTTCTGTTTCTCCAGGAAAGAGAGTAAAGTACGATTACATCCTACCTCATCACTGTTAGATACGGCTGGTAACAACCACAATTCACTCAGTGCTGCTCATCGGTCCTTAATTAGCTCCTTGCCCTCTGATTGGTTGGTATATGATGAGATGGTGCGCATTGGAGTAGTTGCCCATGTCCGGACTGTGACACTGGTGTCCCCGCTGACAGTCTTGCTTCTTGCAGGCCCAATGAGACTGTCTCTGGATGCTTTTTCTGAGCCCTCAAGTAGTAAGTGCTACTAAAGGTTCTGATCTCTCTGCTTACAGGTAGTCTTTGAAAGTGCTTATCCATTTGATTCACTACTAACTTAAAATTTGGAGAGGTAAATAGATGATGATTTACTCCATCATGGACCATTATCACAGCATAACTTGATTTGAGTTTGCAAGGAAGAGTTGAGGGATAGCTTTTCTCTTTCTTTTTAACTTCCAGCTGTTAAGTGAATTAGCTTAGGGCATTAACAAGCTCATTTGAAATAAAACAAGAAAAGAAGAATAATGTAGCATGCATATTTCTTCAAACCACCAAGATCCTTTTTTGTAGATACAAAGGCATACAAAGGATTTGCAGCTAAAGTCACATGGCTTAGATCAGGTGCAGGAAGAAGGGATTTTAGGGCAGAGTTAGTTATAGCATTAGGTTCCACTGGCCTTGTATGATGTTAAAATTTGATCATGAAGCACTCGTTGCAAACGCAACAATTTTGCACTTAAACGTATAATTTGTTCTATATATATAAAGCAACTTCTCTGTTAATGTGGTTATGTTTTGGATTTGGTAGAATGATTATGAACACTTCTGTGTATATACACATTTGTGTATATTTAACATCTCTGTTTGTTTGTTGTGTGTATGATTGGTGTAGTTTTTACAAGGACTTTAATAAAGAGGGTGGTTCATATTTTGAGACCGCTGGGAACACAATTACTGGCTTTGTTAGAGTAACGGGGTATAATTATGCTCTTATTAATTACATTTTTTCCATGTTCTTGCATGTTTTTGGTGATAAGGAATTAATAATTGAGCCTCAAATTACCTTACAATGTTTTTATAAATACAGCCTCTCCTCACTTACCAGCATACTCATTAACCAATGACTCAGACTTATGACAGGCTCTCTGACCAGTATGCATACCTAAATAATATATATTAGAGCTGATTTCCTCTATTCTGTTTATTACAATATACAGTACACTACTGTATAAACATTTAAAAATATAATAAAAATGTTGTAAATGGTGCAAAGGTGACATTAAAACAATATCAAAGATGGTTGACACAAACCCACTACCATTATAGAATGCTCCTTGCTGAGCGACGAATTTGTTTACCGACGTGGTCTTAGGAACTGAACTCCATCATTAAGTGAGGAGAGGCTGCACATATAATTAGGGGATTTTTTTTTTTTTTTTTTTAACTTTGGCCGTCTCCCACCAAGACGGGGCGACCTGAAAAAGTTTACTTTTTACACTTTGTAATTTATACAGGAGAAAGAGTTAATAGCCCCTTGTTCATTTTTTTCTTTAAAAAATCCCTTTATTTCTTTATCAATTTGCACTGCAAATTATTGAGAATAGAGTACAAATTTATAATTACTGAAATACTGGTTTCATGCATATCAATAAAAAAATTTAAATATTGTTTTGTCCATTATGTGTCAAACAATTTAATTTACTATGTATGAGAGTCTTGTTTAAGATCTGTCCATTAATAACTTAGGAAGCAGTGGTGACTGTAGTAGTGACAGTGAGAGTGAGGATAGACCTGTGGGTCTGAGCTGTCTAGTCAGAATTGACAACTGGATACAGTTTCTGGGTGATCCCCAAGCAGCACACCTTGCACTGCAGTTGCGACACAAGTTGCACGCGCTCATCCTTAGGAGACTCCGAGCACCCAACAAGCCACTCACTCAGGTATGAACCTGAAAACTGAATTACTAATATATCTGTTGGAGACCTCAATTCTTCATGATTACTCTACATTTTGCAGTCTTTATTTGGACTGCCATTTATATTTTCTTTATATTAATTTTTTACTCGCCAGCCCTTCCCCACAAATGCAGGGTTACTTCAAGAAGAAAACACGCTTCCTTCATGATAATGCAAGATTAGCACAAGTAGAATGCTCTCCAGACATTTTACTAGCCAGCCTTTTCTTCAAGATTTTTATTCTGAATACCATATTGTACCTAATATAGCCTCTCCCAGTATTATATGAATAACTAAATATATATCGCTAACATCATAAAATGTCTTTATATTTATAACTATGTGCTGATGTTTTCAGTGAAAGTTGTATTACCATAGTTGAAATTTGTATTACTGTCATGCTTCATATACCTGTTGTATCAAATTTAGTCAGTAATATATAATGAAAATGTCAGGCTAAAATAGTTCTTATAAATCACTGTTATGAAATGGACAGTACATTTCCTAGGCTGATGAAGATGTAGTGCGAGTTGTGGCATCAGCCTTGAGCCAAGAGGAACAAGCACTTAGTCTTGTACAACCATCAGGTGTTGGCCAGCGTCCTCGTCCCCTGTATCCTCACAGCCATCCACATGGTAATTACAGAACAAGGTGTCCTCAACTTACAAATGAGTTGCATTCCTAGTTTTTCAACTTACAAATGAGTTGTTTGTATAGAAAAGAGTACAAAGGGTAGTTTTGTTTCACATGTGCTTGTACCATAGTTCAGAGGTTGTAAAATTTTCTTTGGTCTTAAATTCCCCATTTGTAAGTATGGATGTATGTAATCTGGATCATTCGTATGTTAGAAACCTTCTTTATCTCCAAATGGTTAGATTTTATGCCAGCATTGATTCCAGTGGGTGAAATTGACAATGACTGATAGTTGAGAAGAATGATTTTAGGATTTGTAGTGTGTGCATGATAGAATAGACCCAGATACAAGACACATTTATTCAGAATATTTTTTTGTGCTAAGACAGTTCAGAAATTGTGGCAGAAATTGTATTTGACACCACAAAACTTGTACAGTGGTACCCCGAGTTTCGTACAGCTCCCAACTCTAACAATTATGTAAGTGTATTATTGTAAGTATATTTTTGGGGGTCTGAAATGAACTAAACTAATTTAAATTATTCCTTATGGGAACAAATTCGTTCGGTAACGGCACTCGAACAGCCTTCTGGAACGAAGTACAGTGGAACCTCAAAAATCGAATGTATCACATATCGAACGTTTCGAAAATAGAACCATTTTTTCGGACAAACTGTGTCCCTATTATCGAAGGCGTCCCTATTTTCGGACCGCCGGGTACGGGACCTGTCTGCCGCCCGCTCTGTCCGCGTCCCAGCACAGGCGCCGTGAGCAGTCTAGCTTTGTTTATGCTTGAGTGAACACTAACCTGCGCTCTCATTCACGCATTTTACGATTATTTCGTTGTGTTTAGTGCTTGTGGGACTGAAATAAGCTGCCATTGGCCCAAGGAAACTTGCTAGTGGTACCCCTGTGGTAAAGAAAGTGAGAAACACCATAGATGTAAAGAAGGAAATAATACAGAAGTATGAGAGTGGTGTGAGACTTGTTGAGCTTGCCAGGATGTATGGGAAAAACAAGTCGACCATCGGTTCTATCCTGTCAAAGAAAGAGCAAATCAAGGAAGCTGATGTTGCAAAAGGTGTTAATATAGGGAGTAGATGAGGTGCCTTCTTCAAAGATTAAGGAGAATTTTGCCAAGTGGAATGATGTCCAAATGTTTGTGCAGAAGTACCACCCTGAGCAAGCTGAAACAAGCCATCTTTGCAACAAGTTCAGTGACAGAACCATGTCCCATTTTAGGGAAATGTTAAAGAGGCGCCAGAAACAGAGGACTGTGGACAGTTATTTTGTGAGACAGGGGTCCAGTGACTCTCAAGCTGGTCCTAGTGGCATTAAAAGACAGAGAAGGGAAGTAACCCCAGAGAGGGCTTTACCTGAAGTCCTCATGGAGGGGGATTCTCCTTCCAAACACTAACCCCCACTCCCTCTCTCCTCCTCCCTATCTTCCAGATGCCATCACCAAACTTCAATAAAGGTAAGTAAAAATGTTATTTTATATGTATTACTATACATAATTAAAAATTATAGTATTTGTTGTATGTAAAACTGTAATTAATCTCTATAAAATGTATTTTTTGTGTGAATATTTTTGGATTTCTGGAACGGATTAATTGTATTTCCATTATTTCTTATGGGAAATATTGCTTCGAATTTCAGACTTTTCGAATTTAGAACTAGCTCCTGGAACGGATTAAGTTCGATTTTTGAGGTTCCACTGTATGGCTGAAACTCGGGGTACCACTGTATATGACACTGTAAATTTAGTGGAAAATATAGCATCCTGCAGGATCTTTCTTCTCTGCTCCTCGACCAGCCTACAAGTATGGCCACTGTCGCTATAGGAAAGACCTAGTCTTGCTTTTAATATAAACACGCTCCTACTCTGTCAGCTTTCTGTGCATATGCATTCCATATGTACTTAATCTTGTACGAGTGAATTTATTTTTTTATCTTTTCATTAGTCCACCTTATTTTTGTTAAGTAAAAGGACACAAGTGCAACTTCTTCTTTCTTCTTTCAGCGTACCAGCCGTATCCCACTGAGGTGGGGTGACCCAAAAGGAAAAACAAAAGTTTCTCCTTTTAAATTTAGTAATATATATAGGAGAAGGGGTTACTAGCCCCTTGCTCCCAGCATTTTAGTCGCCTCTTACGACACGCATAGCTTACAGAGGAAGAATTTTGTTCCACTTCCCCATGGAGAACAAGTGCAACTATTGCAACATTTTATTGTGGCAATGTTTCACTCTCCGGGAGCTTTGTCAAGCTGTAATGACTTGATAAAGCTCCTGATGAGCAAAACATTGCCACAATAAAATGTTGTTAGTTGTACTTGTGCCCTTTTACTTAACATATTGTCAGTAATTCTACCAATATTAATACCTTATTTCTGGATAGCAATCAGCATCTCTCAGTGATGCTGAAAGTGCCAGGAAGAAGTATAAGTATGAAACCCTTGATGTTTTGGAAAAAAAAAAAATTAGATAAACTTAAAAATTGGGGTATGTGTGATGGAGATGGCACAAGTATATGGTCTGAATGAAGTATTAATTTGTGCACTTAAAAGGAATGAAACGAAGGTAAGAGGTGCAATGAGTAACTTAGGGCATGACTTAAAAGAATTACAGAAAGGTCACAGAAGCAGCTAAATGACAGAAAAATTACTGGATGAGTGGATTGAGCAGAAATCGAAGTGTACCACTAATTTCCTTATCAAGGAGAATGCCTGTCGTGCTTTAAAACAGTGTGTTATGATGAGGGAAAGCCTTAAACAGGTGTGTGTTTAGTGCTGCTTGGTTCCAGAATTCTAAACTGATAATGCTGCTGCTGGAAATTTTCCCTGCAGGACTCCCCATGTTTTAACAAGTAAAAACAAAAGCACTTTGCCCATTACATATTTGCCATCATGGATGATTGAGGCAAGGCAAAAGTCTTTCTTGCTACTTTTTTCTTTTTTATCGCAGATTGTATAATAGTCACTGATGGTGTGTTAGCCTTCTCAATTTTCTCTACATAAAGTGTCATGCCCATCTTCTCTGGAAGGCTTAGTTTGTATACTGTGTCAAACACTGTCTTTTCCTGACTCTTGTTAAGCAAGTTTATATAACATATATTTCTAGTTTAATCAACATCACCATTTCCAATGCAAAGTGTCACAGACTTGTTTATTTTTTATAAGATAAGAAATTTAAACAGTCTGTTCGGTATTTTGTGGGATATAAGGTGTGTAACCATATTTTTCCTTTCTGTTCTTCAATTTCCATAGCACATTTTTGTGTAAGACACCTTTTTTAAGAATGCAAAAGCTATCTTATATGAGAGCTTGCTGTATCTATTAAGGATTCAAGGAAACCAATTTTCTGAATTTGTGTTCTGGAAGTAGGAACTGCAGTGCCTTCATTCTGGAGGATGGGTAGGGACGTTGTACTTCGAAGGATCATTTGAGTTATGATATTCTTGCATTTTGGAAAGACAACTAGAAGAAGTAAGGTGAATATGTTTTTCTTTGAATCACCATCTCTTGGTAGACAATAGCCAATGTGTAAAAAAAAAATCAAGTTTAGGAACAGACAAGGCCGACAAGAACAGACACTATCAGGAAAGGCTCCAGAACAAGGAAATACAAACAGAAGCTGAATACTCAGCTGAGTAATAGATATATCAGGAAGAAGTTTAGTGTAAGTGCAGTAAGGAAGTAGGAAGTAGAAACAGAAACTTGTGACCATATAGAAATGGATTCTGTGTGGGGCTCTAAAGAATGCAAATGACAGGATTCAGTCTTAGTAGATGTTAAAGAGGTTTTGAAACAAGTGAAAGAATAATTGTTGTATGTGACCTTAATGCTGAAATGGGAGTCTGTTGTAGACATCATAGGTATGTTAAGAATGCCTTGGGAAAAATGACAATGTCAGCTCTAATTTAATTACTGTATGTGAAGAAGAATCCTTCCTCTGTAAGCCATGCGTGTCATAAGAGGCAACTGAAATGCCAGGAGCAAGGGGCTAGTAACCTTTTCTCCTGTATAAATTACTAAATTTAGAAAGAAAAACTATTTTTTTTAAAGTATGAAAGAAGTGAATGTTTTCAGATATTTGGGAGTTGACTTGTTAGCAGATGGGTTTATGAAGGATGAGACTAACCATTGAATTGATGAAGAAAAAAAGGTGAGCTGAGGTATCTGTGGAGACAAAAAAATGTTATCCATGGAGGCAAAGAAGGTATAGTGGTACCAATACTCTTATATGGGTGTGAAGTTTGGGTTGCTATTGCTGTAGTGAGGCGGTGGCTGGAGGCAGTGGAGATGTCCTGTCTAAGGGCAATGTGTGGTGTAAATATTATGCAGAGAATTCGGAGTGTGGAAATTAGGAGGAGGTGTGGAGTTACTAAAAGTATTAGTCAGAGGACTGAAGAGGGGTTGTTGAGGTGGTTTGGTCATTTAGAGAGAATGGATCAAAGTAGAATGACATGGAGAGCTTATAAATCTGTAGGGGAAGGAAGGCGGGGTAGGGGTTATCCTCAAAAAGGTAGGAGGGAGGGGGTAAAGGAGGTTTTGTGGGCGAGGGGCTTGGACTTCCAGCAAGCATGTGTGAGCGTGTTAGATAGGAGTGAATGAAGACGAATGGTTTTTGGGACCTGATGAGCCGTTGGAATGTGAGGAGGGTAATATTTAGTGAAGGGATTCAGGGAAACCGGTTATTTTTATATAACCGGACTTGAGTACTGAAAATGGGAAGTACAATGCCTGCACTTTAAAGGAGGGGTTTGGGATATTGGCAGCTTGGAGGGGTATGTTATACAGGTCTTTCTAAACATTCGCAAGGGTTAGGGGATCAAGACCCTCACGAATGTTGAAAAATCGCGAATGTTTGGTGCCCCAATATATTGTAGGGAAATATAATACAGTACTGCTTCCTTAACTTATTGAACCATGAATAATCATAAAATACATGAAAACATTATAAAATATTCTACTATATACATACATGTTATGGTTTAATAAT